TATATAATATGCAAGGCCGATACGAAGAGGCGGAAAAGTTACAGGTGGAAGTGATAGAATTTTGCAAAGTGACACTAGGACCGGATCATCCAGACACACTAAGAAGCATGAATAATCTTGCCTATACTTGGCACAGCCTCGGCCACCAAATGAAGGCAATAGTACTTATGCGCCAATGTTTGGAATCAAGGACACTCAAGTTGGGAAGAAGTCATCCTCTTACTCATAACTCGGCGCAATTACTGGCAGATTGGGCAACTGATCTTGGGTAAGAGATTATGTCGAGGCTGATCTCGGAATTGCGGAATTGAGTATTCGATAGCACCATATGCTCTGTATCTACCTTTTCACACAAATAATTTGTTACATATGTTGTTGAGCGAATACTCTCACGTAGAGATGGTCTAGAAATGGATAGATGCTTTCTCGGATATTTTGGCACAATACCACACCTAAGCAGTGGAAAAGCATCTTATAGTGTCGATGACCCATGATTAACTTAATGAGACGGATTAGTTTTCTTTCTTACTTGTAGATAACTCACCACCTCTTAATGTTGCTCCCCTCTGAACTACAAAATTCTCTATAACTGAAGTGATATCAGTCCTGCCTTCACGGCGAACTATATCAAGAGCCGTGTCCCCGACGTTATTCTTGATATCTGTAGAAGCACCGTATTCCATGGCCACCTCGGCAATGGCTCTTTGATTTTCCATCGCTGCAACATGCAACACGGTGCATTGTTGGTTGTCCTGGATGTCGACATCTCCGCCGTGCTCCAACATGAACCGGAGCAGCGCAGGATTGCTACATTTAGCTGCCCAGTATATGGCGCTTTGCCCGGCTCTGTTCTTGTTATTGACGTCTGAGCCGCCCTCGATGAGAGCCTTTGCCGACTCTAGATACTCCTTTGCGCAGAGTGCTATAAGAAGAATACCTCCTGTTTACAAGCTCATGTCAGCCCAGGGAAGAAAGCTCCAGCCCCCCAGTCAATAACTTACCACTGGGACCCAAGATGTTGGGGTCTGCCCCGGCACGTAGAAGCAAGCGCGTGATGGTTGGGTTGTTAGCCGCAAAGGCCGCCACTGTCAGTGGCGTCTTCAATAGGGTGGTGAGCTCCTTTTGCCACTTGATGGTACTGTCCAGACGGCTGTTAGTGTCCGGTGGCAGTGGCCCCGTAACATCTACGTTGTATCGCACCAGGATCTCAACCGCAGACCATCTCCGCTGAAGCAACGCGTGAAAGAGAGGAGGGAGCCCTGTTTCAAGCTACATGTCAGTCTATTATGGGAGGGATGTTCGACTGTCCAGCAGTAACTTACCGTAGCCATCCTTCAAGTTCGTGTCGAATCCGGCCTCGCATAGTTGCTCGAGCACCGTCACCTCGTCATTGGCTATGGCCTTCTGGAGGGGGAATATCCTCTGTGGTTGTGCGTTCAGTCGTGTAGCGAGGGTCTTGAGCATGCCAGGGAAACCCGGTATCTGGTCGGACCGCCTTGCCAGCTCCAAGGCATCGTCAATGGAACTGCCGATGGAGCACCCGTTTTGCACGAGGAGCGTGGCAACGCCCATTGACTCGGATTCGACGGCGACCTGGTACGGCGACCGCAGCCGGTTGTCTTTGGTGTTGATGTCCGCGCCGTGGCTGATGAGGAGCTCGGCCATCTGCTCGTCGTTGTAAATGGAGCAGAAATGCAGCAGCGTGTATCCCTCTTCGGACCTTTGGCCTAGCGATGCCCCTTGGGTGATGAGTTGCATCACCAGGTCCTTGTCCTGGGTGCGCACTGCCGCAATGAGTGACAAGTTTGGCACAGGCCAAGAGTTGTCCCCAGGCCCTTCGGCTGGCCAAGTTTCCGTGTCTAGGTTTTGCTCAAGGTACCTCCTCATGGGAAGATCGTTGTCCGTGAGTTCCGAGAGAGATGTCCGCCTGCCAGCGGCCGTGGAGCTAGCGATATCGTCCTCGACGCGGCGGCGTATCTTCTTACCCGTCTCCACATTCCGAAGTTCGGGTAGCAGCTCGTTGTACAGCTTTCCGACATCTGACCTCAACTCCTCCTTTCCCTTGCCCTCGATCAAGCTGGCCAACCATCAGTCACGGGTAAGAGGATTCAGATCTGACACATACCCGTTCAAGGCAGATATCGTCAAGTTTAGACTGGCTTTGACTTCCTGGAGCCGGTCCCGTAAGCCCCTGATCTCGCCCTTGCGGACGGTCCAGCTGGTCCAGCTGATTAGTCGGGAGATGCTGCGTCCTTTTGGTCTCTTATCTATGAATGACTTGAGCATCTTCTCCATCGCCGTCATGGTGGTCTGGCATAGATCGAGGTAATCAGCCAGGCTCTGAACGAGGGCCTCGTCTTGCAGTGACAAATTTGCCCTTGAACAAGTGCTCTGGATAGACTGGAGAACGGCCGCGAGACCCTGCACATCTCTGCGAATGTGGGAAATTTCCTCTGGCGCGTCGCGGAACTCGGCCATGACAGTGATTAGGCCTCTCGCCGTAGCCGTGGCAAATGTTGCGACCCCAGCAATGCTAGCGATCATTGACAGAGGATCGGCCATGTTGCTGTGTACGGTCAATATGTGATGTTCTTGTATTATTTTTCCAGCACTACAGTGTTACACGATACTTCTTTGTATTCTTGCCATTTGAAACCTGAAACTATTGTGGTAAGGCTGCCTCCGCGTGGTCGATTTCGCAAGGATTGTGGCTGTGCCATTACCATGCATAAGGCCAAACGAGAAGTGGGTTCCGTATATAGGACATTACTATCCTTTTCAAGCGTATTTAACATGCTCCAGACTTCAGTGGACATTTCTTATTTGAACACGTCGTATAGACTACAACAAGGGCTATTCAAGAGCTCAAATACTTTTTCATTCCCTAGCATCAAGATCAAACAGCTCGTCTTCGAGATCATCATAGCTGCGACAAAAGTAGTAAAAAGCCAGCGTGACGACAAAATAGACGGCCGCGAGCACGGCGTACATGATGGTCAGACCCGGATCGACGGCGGCGCGGGACACGGCAATGCCAAGGGCGCTGGCGACGGCCACGGTGAGCAGGTTGAGCGCGGCGACGACGCTCTTCATGCTCCGCGGCGCCTTGGTGTAGGCGTACTCGGCGGCGGTGACGGCAAACAGGGCCTCGCTGAGGGCAAAGAGGGCGTAGCACGGGAACTGAAGCATCACGTTGACGCGGTTTGGTGTCGCGCCGTCTTCGCAAGCCAGTGGGTGATCGTAGCATGGTCCTGTGGAATAGACTATGTGCTGCACAATGGCTGCCCATGCTATGGCCAGGATACCTGCGGCGAAGCCGGCCGTGATGCGTCGGATGGGACCCGTCTTAATGCGCCATTTTCGCAGGAGCGGGTAGACGACTGTGCGCATCAGATGGATAATGACAATCTCAATCAAGAGCTCAAAGTTGTACAAGATGTCGTTGGGTAAGCCGTGGGTTTCCATTGTCCCAGCCTGGGATACGAGGTTGTTGGCCGCCTGAAGGTAGCAGAGCCAAGCGATTGGTAGCGGTATACTAAGAAGGGTTTTGTTAATGGTTGGTTCCATTTCTAGTGAGTCATGAGAATTTACTTACAAGACTCGACAAGCATATAAACCTCGCTTGAGTTCTTCTACAAATTTGTCGTCCCAGGTAATATGCGAAGTCGCTCCGCCTCGTTGCGCTTGGTAGGATGGCTTGGCTGCGTCCATCTTGAAGCCGCTCTTGATTGCAAAGCCGAGAGCTTTGAGAGCTTTGCCAAGAACTGGCTGTGGTGTGTTTCGTACTAAGACGTGATGAGTGTGAGGGCCCATCGGAATTCGATAGATCAAAGCGACTCACCATATTTCTTTCTTCCCAATGCAAGTGCCGCAATGGCGATCCAGAAGACGCAAAATGGTACCAAGTATGCAGCCCAAAACCCAACGCGGAGTTCAATGTATGTCGCTGGAATGCCTGACAGACAGCCGATACATAATACATTGTAGAATATCATGTAAATGTTGGAAATAGTCGTCTGCGGGTCAACAATGACCCTCTCTCCCGTCTTCAAAGTTGAAATTTTGGGCTTGGTCTCGGTATATTGTTCGAATATCAAGACCGAGACATTTGACTTAATTCCACCGGCTCCTGTGCCAATGAGAAACAGCGCGGCGATGAAGCCGCCTAGCCCAGCACCATGTTCGAGAGAATATGGCAGCGATGTGACAAAGAGGATCAATAGTCCGCACAAGTAGATAGTCACAGCACAACAGATGGTGCGGTATCTTCCAAGCCATGAGTCGGCAATTATTCCTCCCAGTACCGGCGTGAGGTACATCCAAAAGGTAAAACCATAGGAAATGCTGCTTGCGTTGGCCTGGCCTAGTCCGAGGGCTCCAGGCCTTAGAGAGTTGCCGTATGGGTTTTGCATATAATTCTCTACTCAATCATCAGCCATTTGATCGCAGAATACAGTGGGTTATCAGAAGTTTCGCATACGTAGAGGTCCGGCCATGCCATAATATGCGAAACGCTCAGCAGTCTCAACGACGCACACAAGCCATGCTGACGTAGGGATCCTATCGCTGACGAGCCGGAGCGTCTTTCTTTCATACTCGTTTGGGACCTGGCCATCTGGAGTATCTGTCAACTCATTGTCGTCAATTTTGGTCGACGATATCCTTTAGATGAATCAATAAGAGCGAGCTTCCCAACATGTAGAATTGAGTAACCTACCGTGCTGTTTTCGCATCAAGAGTTTCTGCCATTTTGAAGACAAGTCCAATTGCAGTGTTATCAAGACCTCAACTTTTACTGAAACAAGCTATCGAAACATCAATTTTTATCACAGTAGACATATAATGGGTGCGCAAGGGGCCGCAACTTGGCCGCTCAGAATTTCCACATGCTGCAAGAGTATCAAAGGGCCTGTCAATAATGGACATGTAAGGAGGCTAGTCAATATGGCGCGATATGGTGAATGCGATAAGTCATGCATTGGGGTGGATACAAGGTTCCGTTCCATCGGGACTCTTTTCCGATTCCCAACGGGACTTGGTTAAACTCCTTCCGTCTCCATGAACATACTAGGTAGCTGTTCACTTCTTTCTTGCATAATCAGGGTCAACAGGCGGGATATCAACACGATCCAGATACCCCGTCGTCTCCGCACCCGTCATTTGAGCAACGGTGAGCCCATTGCCCAACCACGCAAACCGGTTACCGCCAGACTCGGGCAGCATCTCGTACTCAAAGTCCTCCCAGCGCGGCTTCTCGTAGACCTTGAGGGCATGAACCAGACTTCCGGGCCAGATGGCCGTGATGCGACCGTCGGCGCGACCGCCGCTCTTGAACCACGCCGCGCAGTCCTCGGCCAGCACCGTCTTGGAGAAGAAGGCGTCGGCGTACCGCACAAAGTCGTCCTTGGCGGCGACCTTGGGCGTCATGGAGCGCAGGTGCTCGCGCTGCAGCTTTTGTACGCACTTGATCATGTAGTCGCACTGGGCCTCGATCATGACAATCATGGTTGATAGGGGCGCGCCGTTGGGGCCGAGGTAGAGGAACAGGTTCGGCATATGACAGGGCATGATGGATAGGTAAGCTTCTGGCTCGGGTGTCCAGACTTGATCCAGTGAAATGCCATCTCGACCATAGATTGGCGTTCCAGTCATCTTGAGCGATCTTTATGAACTGTTAGCAGTAGGACTACCAAGAGGTGAGGTGCAATACTGACGTGTCGAACCCCGTGGCACAAATGATAGCATCGACAGGTCTAATAGTGCCACCATTGTCGACCACACCTTCAGCCCGAATCCTTCGTATGCCTGAAGTAATGACATTGACATTATCTTGCACGAGGGCTTCGAGGTATCCCGGAGAGGCGCCCAGTCGCTTGCATCCTGCTGGCCATTCCGGCTTAAGTGTCTCAAAGAGGCCGGGACGTGAGGCTAGCTTCTCTTCGACAAGCGCTTGCAACAGTTTTGCGCCCTCTTGACGAGCTGGTGAGTCCGTAAATACTCGTGGGTAGTTCTTGTGAAGGACCTGTTCGATGCTTTTGCGATATGCGACGAGCAAATTTGGATCCTCGGAAAATCTCTTCTTTTCTCCATCATCAAAGGCAACTTTGATTGAACAGTCAGCTCCAGTAAGTGTGACGAAGAGCCATGCGGCATGCCGTTCACTCACAGTTTTCGTCGCCACCATGTTCTTCGACTTGTTGTCCAAAAGGTCCTCGAGGCGAAACCCAGGCTTTTGATCGGATATACGTATCAATGTGCTTGGCCTGGGGCTGCAAAGCAGGGACGATCTACACCAAGATTCAATGTCAGTTTTACTCTGTTCTCAGTGTTACTGCATATGAGGTTTTTGGAATACTGCTTGTATGGGGAGGCGGGTTGACCTGGCTAGATCCCTGAGGCATATCGTCAGAGAAATCAGCAGCCCTCATCACTGACCTGAATTCCAGTGGAGCCATTTCCTATGACTGCTATTTTCTTTCCTGTCGCATCGAACTTGCTGTCCCAGCGCGCGGTATGCAGCAGCGTCCCTTGAAAGTTCTCGAGCCCTGGAATGTCGGGCCACTTCCACTTGTTCAGCGTTCCCGTACCCTTGATGAGGACGTCTGCCGTATCATAGAACACCTAAGTCCAGGACGAAATCAGCAATGATGGCAGTATGGTGGTGCCTAAGCGACTGACTTGGTGGTCGGATAGTCTCAGAACTTGTACTTCCCATTTGCCCGCTGCCTCGGACCATTGTGCACCCTTGAACTCGTGCCCAAACCTCATGTACTTGCGCGCGCCATATTTGTCGGCGACATCGTTCAAGTATGAAAGAATCTCAGATCCAGGGGAATAGAAACGGCTCCAATTGGGATTGTTTTCAAAGGTAAATTGGTATGCTGGAGAAGGGATATCTTGATCATCGTCAGCTCAGCCAGTTGACCAAAGTCTAAGATTCTTCATACCGCACGCGATGCCAGGGTACCTGCGTTACATGAGCAATTGAAATTTTTCTAATCAGGAGCTTGATACCTACCTATTTTCATACCAAGTGCCACCAAGATCCTGGTTCTTCTCGTATATGACGAGATCTAGATTGTCTATGTGTTGCGGGAAGCGGATGCCGGTCAGGATGCCCGAAACCCCGGCACCGATACATATGACCTTGATGGGTCGGGAGTAGTCTACCGGACGTGCATCCATAGGCACCTCTGGCGATGCCGATGTCGATGGAGTACCCATGGCTATATTTTGCGTAGCTATTCCGTCTTGATATGTCGTGCACGCGGATACTTGGGAGCCTAGTTCTTGTGAAACTTCTACTTTTAACATTAAAGTAGATTTTCTTTGCACTCCTGTTTACTGAAACGTCTGATTAGGCAGCAGAACTATACCCACTGTATTGAGGGTATGCAACGATCCCTCTCCAGGCCCAGAACGTCGTGTACCCACTGATCATCGGGCTGTGCCCGATGGAACTTCCGAAGCCGCCCATATTTCCAATACACTAGTGCATGCCATACATGGCGATTCTCCTCATTCTCATTCTTCGCTTGTCCTACTGTCACGCTGTACGTCTAGATGAAGGAATAATAGGTAGGTAGTTGCGAGATTCTCATATTTGCTCGGACTAGTGGTAAATTATTTGTAATACCTGGCGACTGTATTTGTTTCTTTTTCCCCTCCGCACAGCATTGCAGCAGATGCTGACCCACCAGAACTCAATAGGCTATACTCTGTGCTGGGAGCGATACTTGAAGTCTATCGTGCTCGAGCTTGTCCATAGGTACTCTGTACTTGGAAATCTATTGGCGAACTGTGGATAATCATAAAGTGAAGCACACCAACTTCAACTTATCGCCCCAATAACAGAGCCAACCTGAGCTTAGTGACATTGGAAACTCGGCAACCCTAACCTCGCCCTCCGCACCATCATCATGTCAGCCACAACAGAACATTTTGTCCTCAAACCCACCTCCTATGTACCCAACAACAAACTTCCAGTCATTGTATACCGGGGTGCTCTTCCGCAACCGCATGCAGAGGAAACCACAACGGCATTTCTCGAGGCCAACAAATGGGAAAAGAAGGTAATCAATCAACCCTCCTCCAACCTGACCCCTCCCCTGAGCCTCGCCTTCACCAGTGGGCATTTGCGTAACAAACTCTACATCATATGCACAAAGAACAAATCGAGACTATTTTCAATCATTTCACTAGAAAAGGGGAATTCTCACACCAGAGAAAACAGGGTTTCTGGCCAGGCACGCCAACGCACCACTTTCATCCCAACACGCACGAATGTTACGGCGTAGTGAGCGGGACCACGACCATGCTGCTGGGGCGGGGCCAGCTGGACCCTTACCCGGACCCCGACCCAGGCGCCACCGCCCCAAACCCGGAGAATGATGCCGGGGGCCCCTACTACGGCCGCCTCGTCTCCCTTGCGCCCGGCGACGTGGTCGTTATACCCGCCGGTACCGCGCATATGAATGTTGAAATGACCGACGACTACCGCTTTGTCGGGGTATACCCTGTGGGCTCTCCGAAATGGAAGAGCGAGCGGTGTGATAATCGGGACATCATGTCACAGCTCAGGGACGAGATATCACAAGTTCCGATGCCAATTGCCGACCCAGTCCAAGGCGAGGGCGGCCTTCTGATCACGCTTTGGTCAAAAGTCGATCAATAGTTTATGCTATAATGCTTGACGGACCTAAATGCTGTCTAAGCATGTTAAATCTTCACATCATTCAGCATCTAATGTTTTTGCCAAAAATATTATGAAAGGATCCCTAAAATGTACTTTCAATAAAAATTATGGCTACCTGGGCATTGGAGTATCATGGGTCAAAACAAAATAAACTAGAAAAGGGTATCAAACGCAACCCATATCGGAGCCATTACCATTAATCACCTCCACAAACCCACAACGCATAATCATTTCGGCATCGCCTTCGTCCTCCTGACACATACTAAGGGTCGGGGCTATTGGCCTCAAGAGGTGCCTCGTCCTGTTTCCTAGGAGGCAGCTTCTCTTTTTGCAAATCTTCCTCCACATCTTGCGCAGCCTTTTCCCGTGCCTTTTCCTTTACTTGTTTCGCCTCGTCTGTGTCATGCAACGAGATCTGCCTGTCTTTGTCCTTGCGCACGTCTGCACTCTTGCGCACGTCAAAGCTCTTCCTGTTCTTGCCAAGAACAACATTGATATCATCACCTCTCTTGATAGCAGCAATGGCCTTTTCGGCAGACTCAACATTCTCAAAGGCACTTCCAGTACCCCATTTGCCGAGTTGCTTGCCTTTATGAGGATCGCTATGCCGGCTTTTACTAAAGTGCCTTGTGAGACTGCGTTTCTCGCTTTCATTCATGACGCTTTGACCAAGCTGTCGCATGGTATCCCATCCACGATAAGTTTCTTCACATGCCGTCTTCTTCTCTTCGACCGAAAGGTCCTTCATCTCGCGTTGGGCCTGGACAATCCGAGCTCGGCGAATGAACTTGACAGGTTGACCTCGTCGTTCCGCCTGCTTTGCGACACCTTTCAAGGTTAATCCTAATGGCGATACGATGGCAGATATATCCTTCAAGACGAAACCGCCAATGCCCATGGCCACGCCAGCAGCCGCTCCACGAACACCTCTTTCTTTGGCACCTTTGACCGGAAGCCTCACTAGACCCGTGACGCCGTCGTATATGCCATAGACGAATTCGGATCCAGCGGCCTTGAGACCCGATTTGATGCCCGTGATGCGAATTGGCTTTCGAACGGTGTCGTCACCGTAGAGGCGTGGCGCATTGTGGAATCCTTGGGCCACAGCTACGGCCAAATTAACTGGCGCCTTTGCGAGGGCACGGCCAGATTGGCCGAGACCTTCGGAAACCTCGTTGGCGTATTCCTCTGCTGCGGGCGCGGTTGCCGGAGTTGCAGTCAAGTTGGACTCGTTAGTCAGGTGACTTTCAGGTTTCGGTCTTTGAGGCTGAGATTCTGCCTGCTGCTCTGGATTCTCGGTATTGGCTGGTGGAAATGGGAAACCTGCAACTCCCTCTTGTGCCAGTGGCTTGGGCTCGGCAGCTCTTCTCTTTTGCTCAAGCTTCTGTCGTCGCTTTTCCATCTTCTTCTTCTTGTGCTCCTCGCGTTTCTTTGTTGTCTTGGCGAGACGATAAGGTACGCTGCCGAAACCAGTAAAGAAGTTGCCCAAAGTTCCAGCAAGAGTTCCGGCTAGACCTGTGATGGGCTCGCCGGGCCCCTCAAAGTCGTTCCATTCCTTGTGTCGCAGCGGGCGAAGTCGATTCCATGTGAGGTAGCCTTTCTCTACCAGTATGTCGGCAGCCATGGCACTCAACTTGATACTAGTGTCCTTGATTCGCCAAACGGCAACCCGATCGGTCAAGATGGCACAACGCATGGATTCTTCTCCAGAAAGGACCAAGTGGTTGTGGAAAGATCTGACCGCGTTTTTTGCCCCGTCACCCTCAAGTTCGATGGATTTGGCAATTTTCTGTACTGCCTCCAACGCTTCGTCTGTGAGACAGTACTTGATCCCCTCGGCAAGTTTGTCGGCATCCAGCTTCTTGTAGGGCACGGCTTCGGGTCCAGCGCCAGCATTTGAAACCATTGAGCCCCAAAAGTGCTGATCGCCAAAGAATGGTACAATCATGGTGGGTTTGCCACATTTGAGGGCAGCCGCAGTGGTGCCCGCTCCTCCATGAATGACACAAGCTTTCACCTTTGGAAAAAGCCAGTCATGGGGCGTGTTCTCAAGCATGAAGATGTTCTCAGGAACATTGTCACCACCCAGCCCTCCCCATCCTTTGGAGACCAACGCTCGGACTCCAGCCTTCTTCACTCCCTCAAAGATCATCTCTGTGAACTTGTCCGCGTCGTCAACCACGATGGACCCGAAACCAATATAAATCGGGGTGTCTCCAGCGTCCAGAAATTCAACAAGTTCCTGTGGGGGTTGAAAACTTGAGGCCAGGTCGAGGAAAACAAATCCTGCTACATCGATTTCATCGCCCCAATCCTCAGGCTTGGGCACGATACCAGGACTCCACAAGTAGGTAAATGGCACGTGCAAACGGTAAGTTGAACCAGGTGCCCATAAAGTCGAGACCGGGTCCAAACCCAGCGTCTTGACTCTGAAGTTGTTGACGAGATCCCCCAGACCCTGCCATACCATCATCTCGACCAATGGATAGGACATGAAGTTTGTGTACCCAGGATCGACATTTGATTTCTTGATGGAAGCAAGCGGGTGCGGGAAGGCCTGCGTGGGCGTGTAAGGAAAGGTAAACATGAGATGTAAGGGCACGCCCAATGCCTCGGCACAGTGGATGTGAGCAAAACTGGGCGGGTTTGCAATGATGGCATCTGCCACAAAAGGTGCCCTCCCGCCCATCAATTTGAGGTTTTGCGTGTCCTTTTCGTTGTCCGTAGCATTAATACACGCCCGCCAGAACCCATCAAACATTTCGGCCATGGCAGCTCGTCGGCGGCCAATGTCACCAGCTTTGACGGTCTCCAACTTTGGTATCATGCCAGGGTTCTTGACCATGAAAGCCATCAGTTCTGACGGGTCACCACCCACGGAGAAGAACTCGAGACCTGAATCTTTCTCAACAAACTCGCGGAACGCTGGGTGGGTTGCAATTCGTACACGGTGTCCATAGTTCTCCTTGAGTACCTTTCCAATCTTTAGAAACGGTTGCGCATCACCACGAGAACCAATCACCATGATGACGATATTCAGTTTGGGGCGCTTTACTTTCTCCGACGTTGCAGTACTCGCGGAAGACAGTCTCGATGGCGACGGTCGCTCGGCTTTCAATTCGTCTCCCTTGTGTTTGGCGGGTGTTACGACTTTGTGGACGGCCGAGCCCAATGCCTTGGCCAAGTATCCAGTGTTGCTCGTATCATTGACAGTAATATTCAAACGTCCATCTCTCCTCGATACTTTTCCTCTAGTGCTGTAATTATCGTTGGCTAGATCAAATCGACGATACTTGTCCTCGGTGTTGGCACGTTTCGGCTTCGATATACTACCAGTTGTGCCTACCCTGGTAGCTGGTCCCCCATCCTCCTCATCCTCTGATTCCGACGACGAAGTGGACATGTCGCCATCACTCTCGTAGTTTCGGCTCCATATCGCTCGATTGAGCTCGGACACGTTTGTCCCTGTGCGCTTCACAAGAGGCGCGGCAGATGTTCGTCGTGGAGGTCGACGTGGCACATCAGTCACGAACTTTTTGGAGCCCTCTAGAGATGGCCGATCTGTAGATTTCCTGTCTTTTGTAGCTATGGGTGGCTTATTTGAACTCAGTACGTCCGATGTAGACTGCGACTTGGCTTTATCTTGGTCGCCTGCCGATGACTGGGCGATCTCGGGGGAGACGACTTCGGAAGGGATCTCGCCGGGGAAGACAACGTTGCCCTGTCGATTATGCAGAATGGCAGCCGTCCGTGTGTCCTTGTTCGTCTCGCGAAGCTGAGTATCATCGTCGGATGAATCGACCATGATTGGAGCCGAGGATGGCTTGTTGAGCTCGACTAGAGACGCCATTTGCGCTCTTCAACTCGAGTTTGTTGCGGATTAGTGCTGGTATGCTTGTCTCCTCCTTGTTGCGACTCAGTACAATCTACCATATCATGCGTGTGCTCGTGTAAAGGATAGCGGGAGCAGTACGTCTAGTATTGTTGAGCGCTCTGGGTCGAGCTATCATATATATCTGCAAGTGTCATTCTCCGACACAGTCACGTCGTGCAAAGGGGTTTGCTGGCTGCCGTTGAGCTCAGGGAGTAGCAGTCTTGTGAGTAGTGACCATTCACTCTCGGCGCAAGAGCTGCAGTTTGTAAAGCGAATGAAAAAGCTTTCAAAGAAAGAAATGGAAGCTGTAGAAGAACAGGTGACCGCTGCATGAGTTCGGTCCGAGTATCCAACGGACGACAAGTCACAATTCCAGTTGGTCCATTCTGGCAAGACGTGGGAACGTAGGAAGATGCAAATGGGGACCGTCTGTTGTTTTCGGCAGTGGACAAAGCCAGAAACAGCCAAGCTCCAGTGGCTCCCCAAGGTGCTGTCCACATTAGCGGCGGCCACTATTGCCCCCTGTCGCATGAATGACATCACTGACAAGTCCATCAACGGGGCCGGCCCACAAGGCAAGCTTGAGGCCTGAATCCTGGGCTTGTGTCTTTGAATTGGAACACGGTACAACGAGCCGAGATGTTCAAAATGAGCCCCAAGCTCGCCAAGTTCCCCGGACCAAACTGCCCGGCCATGGGAGATGAGACCCAGGGTTTAACCAAGGGAAAACTCATTTCGTATCTGCAACGTCGACTTGATTGGTACTTACTTTGCGAGAGCATGGGAATTCAAACGTGTCTTTTCAAGTTTTTCCCTGAACCATCATCACGGGTCATGAAAAAAGGCAAAAACAGGTTAATCTCGCGTAGCACAATTGGTTGTTGACAAGCGAACTCAATTGCCGTAAGCCGTTGACCTGGTAAACAGGCATACATGGACAGGTCATTATGCCGTCGAATGCAGTCACTATTCGCATTAGCTCCAGGCACCGTCGAATTGCATCGAGGCTCAAGCACATCCCACACACCCTCTTTGCCTCTTGTGCGCATAGCTCATACCCCTGGACACGCCGGCGCACCGCTGGACGAATTAAACATAGCAACACCAGCCAGATCTGTAGCAGCCTACAGGATAGATCTGCATCTACTTTCCCATCTCTGATGTTTAGGAAAGGCAAAATGAGTAGATCTTCAATCTACCTGCTTGGTGAAAACCTACTGCTGCATGTGAAGTCAAGGTCATGTGCAGATTCAAAGAGAGCTCAAAGTCGAAATAAGTGATGGTTAGAAACCATAGGATGGGGCTGCTTTATTCCAAGGCTGCGCTATCACTCTACTGTCACACGACATACCATATTGGTTGTTTGCTGATACTGAGGGCTGGCCCTCGACATCAACGATCATCTTGCTTCGCTGCCGTTTGCTGACATTATATCAGCCTTCGACCACACTCAAAGACCCTAAATGCTTTCTTAGATTACCTTCTTCCACCAAAGTCTCTTGGCGGCCCTGGCGGCCACAATATTTAGTGCAAAATATTGCATAAAGGAATAATAAGATTATTCTAGGGTTGGTTTTTATAGTTCAAGCTAAATCGAAGTCTTTTGCAAATGAGTGCATGTGCCATTAAACCTCAACTTGGCCTATTGACCAGCTAGTGAGTTTGTCATGCATTTCCATTCAGGCTTCTCTATATCAGTCGCCTCTTTGTTGCTGAATACGGCTACTTTCATTTCGTTTACTTGAAGCAAATAAAGCTTAGCGGTCCTCGCGTACACGACTACGACTAACTTACATCGAGACATGAAGATTGTCAAATGGTCCAGGTACGATTTCGTTCCTAATTTCGACAGTAACAATTCGGCAAAACTACCTTGTCGGTTGCTTCCAAGTGTCCACAACTTGACCTTGTCTTGCTCTGCCCATTTTCCAGACCAAGTGCGATTGAAACTTACCTTGGCTTGCAACTTGGACACTAGGATCAGAGTTGTCCAATCGGCCGGTATCTAGCCTGTCGGGAATGGTACTTCAGCAATCCAACATTTGTGCCATGAACTGCCTACTTGTAGGATTGATCCAAAAAGTACGGGTTTCCCTACTCGGGTAGGTTGATTCTCGTGAGTTTTTAGATGGAAAATGATGTCCTGACCATATTCTGAAAAAAGTCGCCAATTAGTTGGCCTTTGAAAACATGCTGACCAGTCGGCACAGTTCGCTGAACTATTGCCACAGCATCCTGTCATTGTGTCCCATTTGCCTTTATGACTGCCTTCCCACGCAACATTTGGTCTTTGGGAGTGGGAAATTGAGGATACCTAAACTGATTCCTGAGTCTGAATATGTTGTTCGCACAAAACTTGCGCAACAAAAGTTAAAGGAATATTCATTGGCCGAAAGGATTGGTATATCTTACTCACAGTAACTTCTACTATTCCTTTCTATATTTTGGACTTTACCAGCAGGGCACCAAGCGGTTCATGCTAGCCCTTGTCGTCAGCCTCATATCTCACCTCGTTATCTGATAAGAGTTGTCTCGATTAGATACCGTTCCCGTGGGTCAACTTCTTTCATGATAATGATAGATACGCTGGTCCAGGACCAGTCACTCTAACCGACTCCAACGGCGTCGCCACTGCTACGGCCACAGGGTTCTCTACATATACAGAAGCATTTCCACCCACAGGCAACCAACCAACTCCTTCAGCATGACCTGAAGTTAAAGATTCTTATAGTTGTGCTCAGAGTGCCTCCTATCATCCCATCACTCAGCCTGACTATGTATCCGGCTATTTTCTCCCAATTCTCCTGAGTCTCGTGGCATCCGTATTAGCGCAGTTCATCAGCTCCGATCTTCAGTCTGTTGCCATTCCGGGCCTTGACTCGGCAAGGCGGTGCAGAAGCAGCTGACTCACTGTGCTTGGACACTGGCGGTCTCCAGGGGCCAATAACAAGCTGGAGACTTCTACGGCGATTCAGAGAGCCCGTGTCGTTTCTGAGCAATTTCTCGTTGTACTCGTCCACCCTGGTCGTTGCCTTGTCTAGCGAGGCTTTCGGGACGAAGCTGAATGGCAACTGTGCACCGGACAGTTCCAGCGGATGCTTCATGAGTCTTTCGTTGAATGTGCGTTCCAGTCTTGTGGTAGAGGTGCTTCTTGTTCTCATGCTTCTTACCGAGATACTTCTCATAATTTTCTTGAGAAGATGGATCTCGGGTGTAGCAGCGCCGCCCACGAGCTTGGCCAACCTTGGTGCACTACTACAAGCCGAGACTACCAAATCACTTTTCCAGGTGATCGAGCCCAGGTCGAAGAAGCGGCAACACAGGATGTGCAAACTTGACCGTGAGCTTGGGGACCATATCTTCTCTCTCCGCTATTTCAGGAATGCCGAGGGGCATCTTGTGTATGGGATTGATACCGGAACCGACACCAACGAGAGTCGACACCTGGACTCACAACCAAACAACGAAACTTCTCAGTTGTTGGATTATTCTGGTCTCAAAATGTCAAAGGTACAGCCCTATGAAAATATTAAGCTTGAATATTTCGGCAGTCTATCCCGGACAGATCACAGGGTCAGAACTTCTTTTTTCTTGACAATATGTGCAACCATCATCTTGATAGTTTACTATAATTCGACTCGACTACAAACCCCGTTTGAGAAATTCATGGATAATCAGAGCTTTGATGTTCGACTATTATTAACGAGTGTGGGACTTATAATCTCCTTCTTTCTGGCAGTATCAGTTTTCATGTAAGTACAATCTTTCAATTACCAGTATGCCGCGGAACATGCCAAATGACCCGAATCTCCAGGGGTTTCTACCATGGGACCATACCGACGGCTATCTAGACGGCCGCAGTCCTCAAAGGAGTCGATTCTAGTATCACCTCCCACCAATCCTTTCGCTGGAGTCATTCATGCAATTCAACGACGAGATTCCATCACGGGACTCGTGGCACTTGCTGGTGTTCTATCCAAACTCACTCCAGTCCTTTTCTCAAATATTCCTTTCAACCCTACCCAAACCCGGACTCTGCATGTAGTCTGTACATGGGCCGCGGTCGCCATCTTGGCCTTTATGCTTCTAGTACTGCTATTACAAATGGCCACAAGATATCCAGACATACCAGTGAACCCGAAATTCGTGTCCGGAAGCCTCTATTACTTGGCCGGTTCAATAATACTCAGCGACTTTCAGGACGCCTCGACTCTGACGCGAAAAGAATTGAGTGGTACAAGAGTCAATGCTGAGACGAGATATTCCCTCAAGAAAGTTAGTAGCACTTCAATTAGGATGACAATAGAGGTGGAAGGCCAGGGTTTACCATCCCATGTGGAAACTGCTGGGTCATCTCCACCACTCGAGGCCGATAATGAGGACGAGCCGCTTATGGTACCACCCCAGCGAGTGGATGCAACCAGGCTTCTCTCTAAGCACGCCTCAATTTCCTACCGAGAGGCTATTCAAACATCATCTGCTAGATATAATCAATTAGGACCTCAACGTAGCAGCACACTCCAGACAGCCACAGTTATAAACGGAGCAATCGTCCTTGTGAATATGGACGGCAATTTATAGTTGGAATTAATGGCACTCTTGCAGCACATGTTGATTGCGTCTCATACTGAATCTGCATAGGGGAGCAGTTGGTTCTAATCTCGAAACACTAATGCACACTAGTTCTCGCCTGCACTATAGTAAGCGCTAAGCATTTAGTAGTTGTGCACCAAGCCACGGAGACAGATGGTGTTTTGATTTGTCCCATGTTCAGCATTCCCCATCAACTCCCCTCCTTGGCAGATGGTGCATATGGCGCGACGACTACCAGCTCACTCTTGGCTCAAACGTCACCATGGTCGGCGTCGCGGGACGTAGTAAAGCCTGTGCGACCTGCAAGTCCCGGCATATACGATGCGGTATGCCATTTATAACCATCTGACGCAACTAGACGCTCTACTGACTACCCATGGGTTGGCTACATAGATGAACGACGCCCAACATGTTACCGATGTGAAAAGACCGGTTATACATGTCAGGGCTACGATCGGCCGTTGATATTCATCGACGGTGTGCCAAAGAATGCCCGTGCAAAGAGCATCGCGTCCAGGGTCTTGACAGCACAGCGGCAAGATTCAACCCTCACCATCTCTACCGCTGCCCGTTCAGCCCAACATCAAGGACCCGCCTTTCAGCAGGCCGAGAACTTTATACACCAACTTCTCTTGGCGCAAGGCGTTCACGTAGATTCGCATCATCATGGGCAAGCGCCTGATCGAGAGCATCATCTACTGCACGTCTCGACTGAAGCGGCGACGCTGCTCCTGCGAGGACGTCTGACACGACATGCCCAGACCGTATACCAAGCGACCAAGTTGTCTGGCATGGCGCTGGAGCAGCTTCGGGCCATGCTGGCGCAGCATAATAGCGTTCACGGATCCGCAAACAACGTGCCACTGCTGGCTATCATCATGAATATGACAGTCTTTGAGGTGAGCTCTTCATTGTTCAGTGAGAGGAGAGAGCGTTCAGAGCTAATTAAGAATCTCAGTTGCTTGCAGCAACGACGAGAGATTCATGTAAGCATCATGTTCGCGGGTTGGCTGCTCTGATTGAGTCATGTGGCCCAGCCGTATTTCGCGAGCCATCTATGAGATTGATATTAGGACAGGCTAGAGCACATATTGTAAGAAATCTCTCATTATTGTACCCTGAAATTCGAACTGTGCAGTCTAACAAGACCTCGCCACAGATGGTTTTACATATGGAAGGCGAGCACAGGACCTTTCTAGAACAGCCCTGTTGGCAGGAAGTCCCATGGGATGAGGATCCCGGGAGCAAGTCTCTCACAGCACGATATATGGACATCATCTGTTGTATCCCAGGCTTGTTGGAAGATCAGCAGCGGCTATTGGAAATACAACAAAACTCCACTATTATTGCTGACGACACATGTGATCCTCGGGCTGACGACCTTCGATCGTCAATGCGGGCGAAAATAGTCTCTCTGTATATCAAACTACTCGACATACGGTGGCAATGGGAATTGGATCATCCAAATTGCTGCCATGACTTGCCGGTTGCTGGGCGAAGCGGCGCGGCGCGAAACCAGCATTGCGCAGTTCCACTTCCAGTAAACAGCGAGACAGGAAGGCCAATTTACGGCAGCGTGCTCTTCTTTAATGACCTCTATCGAGCAGTCGAGATGAACTTTTACCATACCTGCCTATTAATCCTCCACAGTCTAGCGAGAAGTCTGGATATCATGCAGGAACTCGAGCACCTCCATACGCCACCGCCTTGTTCTTCCTACGAAGCTAGCATTCCGCAAGATGCGGGCAGAAGCAAATCTGGTGATGCAACCCGTCGCTTCTGCTTTAAGACCAACGTACCACTACTATTTCCACACGAGAGTCAATCAGACTATTACGCCGTACACGATATCTGTCGCACTGTTGACTTCCTACTACACCCAAACTATGGGCACGCTGGAGCTCTTTTCCTCATATTTCCGTTGCGTGTCGCCCAGGTATACAGCACTATCTTACCGTTCGAGAGAGAAGATACTTCGCTCGATATCACTCGGTCCAGTAGCGATCAGAATGTCTGCCACGGAAGAAACCAGGCCGCAACACAGAGTATAAATGCTGGGCAGAACGGTATAGACAACAAGGCAAAGATTGACGAACACAAGAGCCTGTCAGTCTGGATGCGCAAGATAATGAGACATGTTGGGGATGTCTATGGGTTTGGCATAGCATATGGATACACTTGACGAGAAGATACTTGGATAGTAGTACATGAATGGGAAGAAAACAGAGGGAGGAACATTCTTTCTTTTCTCCTAAGGGTGCAAGTTTCACTACAAGGAGTTGGACTTCTTGTCGCGTTTGGCGAATAAAACTTGCAATTTTTTTTTTATTTCAATTTCGAGAGGGAGGAAAAGCAAAGTGTCTGCCTACACCCAACTCTGCCACAACTATTTCGGACTAGGCAGTTCATCTCTCAAAATACCTCTGAATTGGGTTAGAAGATCCATGCAAAGTCTAGACTATAAGCCGCCCACATCTCTCGAAATGCTTCTAATTTGGGTAAAGCGTACTATATAGCGCTATTATACCGGATCCTCGTAGTGGCTTAGAATATCTCATAGGCACCAGGTGGTGAACATTGCTTTTGGCATTGACGAATCAAGATGTTTTGTAATTCATTGCCGTCGATATAGCTTGCCAGCTTGCATCAGTCTTACCACGACTATCGTGTAGAAAATGACGAGATCTGTTAACGCTACGTCTTACGGACTTGTACTTCAAATATTTTGAGGCAGAGAAATTTGGTATAAATCATGGCAGTACCTCTCTCTCAGCCAAGAAATTCTCACTTTGTTTTTTCCCATCTTTACAATCACTTCACTGCCTTCTACCAGATCTTGTAATGTCCTTTAAAAGCACAATGGCAAGCCTCATGGCCATAGGCAGCGTGCTGGCCCAGCACGATCCCATCGTTCAATTGTCCACCGGCGCCCTCCGCGGGCAGACGTGCAATACTTCACCAGCAACCTCCTTCTTGGGGATTCCTTATGCACAGCCTCCCACTGGCGAACTGCGTTTCATGCCACCGCAACCTCTGTCATTGAACACATCTCAAGCCGGAGTCGTTTTCGAGGCCACCCACGTGGCGCCTCCTTGTATTCAATGGGGCTCCGAATTCGACGTGGAGAATCCAACTCCATCTGAAGACTGGTGAGCATAATGGACCTACATGGTTTTTTTTTAGGCGTGACTGACTGACTGACTACTACAGCTTATACTTGAATGTGTACGTGCCTCCAGACACGACAAATACTTCCTCTCTCCCCGTCAAGGTCTGGGCTTATGGCGGCGGCAACATTGGAGGCGCGGCCTCCTACCCTCTTTACGATGCCTGCAGTCTCGCAACCGACGCCATCGTTGTAACTTTCAATTATCGCCTCGGTCCGCTGGGTTTTCTGGCCCTCGACAGCGCCGGCATTCAAGGCAACATGGCGATTCAAGATTACTTGGCGGCTCTGAGCTGGGTCAAGGAGAATATTGTCAGCTTTGGGGGCAACTCGTCCCAAGTCTTGTTACTTGGGCAGAGTGCCGGAGCCGATGATGCATTTGTCGTATCGACTCTGCCAGAAGCCAAATCGCTCATTTCTGCCGCCATCTTTGAATCAGGCGGTGGCCAAGACATAGTACCGTACGACATTGCACAGCTCAGCGGTTCCAGTTTCGCAGAGACCTTGAACTGCAGCACAAACGACGTAAGTTTTCGTCGTCCCAAATGATGGACGGGGCTGTATTTTGTACTGATTCCTTGAATAAACACTTCAGCTCATCTGCCTACAATCCAAATCCGCCGATGAACTCATTCAGGCCTTTCAAACGACGCCGGCGTTGGCTCCAGGGTTTGGCAATGGGTTGAGCGTCGGCTCCAATTTTGCCATCAACACACCCAACACCACGAGCTTGAGCGGCACTGTCCTCGATGGTGAAATCATCAAGAAACAGCCTTTGGAAGTTGGTTCTCAGGTTCCCATCATTGCGGGATCAAGTCAGTACCTACTTCTCCTCCAACATGCAGAAGGAAAAGCTAACGCATAACCTTTTGACCACAGACGAATTCGACGCCACGTTATTCGTTCTCCCAATCTACTTGACCAGCGACCAGCCTCTAGCCGAGGAAAACTACACGTCTTTTCTCGCTCAATGGGGCCCCGCCAGCTCCGCCATCAGCCAACAATACCCGCTCTCGCTGTTCGAGAGCGCCGGGTCGACCACGACCGAAGCCGTGGTCGCGGCCATAACCCACATTGTGACACAGTCCAGCTACACCTGCAGCACCTACAAGGCCCTGCGCGCCGCCTCGGCCGCCGGCACGCAAGCGTACGCATATCGCTTCAACCACACCCCGAGCTGTCCGTGGCTCTGGGAGTCGGGCACGGCGTTCCCGTCGCCGGACGTGGCGGATTTTTTCCTCTCTACCCACACGGCCGAGCTGCCGTTTGTCTTTGGCAACCTCGTCAATCAGCCCTGGGGTAATGGCAGCTGCAACGCCACGGCCGCGGAATTCGCCCTCAGTCATGCGCTGACAGCAGCGTGGACGGCCATGGCGGTACGGGGGAACCCTTCTGTAGAGGGGCAGTCCTGGCCGCTCTTTGACGCTTGTCAGACGCGTGGGCTCTGGTTTCAAGAGTCTGGCGAGACTACGCAGTTGGATTTCTCCGAATGTGAGTTTTGGGATGAGGTCTTTGCTGATCTAGGGGGTGTCAACATGTCTTGGCCAGACGCAAATTGTGCTGCGAACAGCACGACGGGAGGCTCGAAATGCTCCTCCAAAGGAAGAATCTAACCTAGTTGAATCTGTATGCAAAGGATCTTCGGCACTGGAGAAAAGGATCCCAGCTGTTGTGTTCTCGCATAAAACGTAATATTTCTGTGCCTTTTTAACAATCATACCTCATATTGAAATCAAGTCATTATTCTTATTGGGCGCACTATTAAGAATTTCAAGCGTATGATTTAGAATTTCCTCTGACGCAATATGATTGCTAGTACTACCTCTACAACTGCTTGAGGATAGATACATGGGATCTTGACCTGTACACTACCACGCCACTATATACTTTACTGTGAAGGCAAAGCACCAATAACCTTCTGTTTTATCCTGTTCTTGACTATCCATATGTTCGACTAGGAAAGAAGACCGGATGAACCAAGCTAATTCGCAAGTTTGCAGAAAATTGCTGGGCCCATTTTCCGGCCTGCGTAATGACATTTGCAAGTTGCAACTCGATCCGTAAAAGCCATCTGACCAGCCCCTGCTCTGTCTTCAAGTTTGTTGCTTTAGTACAGTCAGTGAGTATCTACCTCATTTGCATAGCTCAAAGCCTGTGACCATACGTTTGTGCTGATGCTTGGTATTCGTCTTGGGGTATTATCAGTTCCTAGTCTAGTCGCTGGAAATGATCAATAAAGCAAAGAGCACAGTATTTAGGGCGTGGGTTTCGCAATGACATTCTCATTGAACCCCAAGACATTGTGCTTAAGATCAGCGCCTTGCACGGTTACTCTTTTGGAGGGCCCTGCCATAACGTGAACGTCGTTGGCCTGGCTCCTAGACATCGTCGGAATCTTCCTCCTCTTGGGAGTCTTCAGAGTCTTCAGAATCTTCTGCATATTCGGCCGTTTCGGGCTTTCCGGCCTTTATGGCTTTTTCTACATTTTCGACATCCGGGACAAAGAAGGTATCTTCTTGCGTCAATGATTCCGCACGGTGTGCCACTTTCTTCTTGCTGGCTTTGGCCCTCTTATGGAGCCTCTTGTCGTAGAGTTCCATGGTTTTTTCGCGCTGTTTTCGGGCAGTCTCAACGACCGTGTCAGCTTCGCGCTTAATCTGCTCCTCGGCCGCGGCCGCCTTCTGCTCGCGAGCGATTTGCTTCTGTGCCCGGGTACCGCTGATAGCTCCCCTAGTGCCGTGAGCAGGGGCGTCGCTCAACATTGAAGCGGGCATCTTAAGCTTGACGATTTTGGATGGAGAATCCGTTTGTTTCTTCTTCTGCTGCGATTTTTTGTTCGAGTCCTTTGCATGTAGCGGTATATCCTTTGTCACGGCGCTGCTGGCACCGACGCTCTATGCCGGTGCAGCCTGACTATTGGCTGCCTTGAGGGCCGCTAACTCGGTCTCTTTCTGCTTCGTCTGCTTGTTGAGCTCAAGGATCATGGCTGAAACCTTCTCTTCTGCCTCCTTCAACCTCTTAAGTTCCAGTTGTTCCGTCTCCCGAGAGAATGGTTGGCCAGGTCGATTCATCAATGGTATCATGGCACTGCGTTCCTTGACGTCGCCTTCCTCTTGCTTGCCTTGGTTGGGGGCGGCCTTGCCTTTGCCTTTGCCCTTGCCGCCTGGCGGCGGCTGTCCCTTGTTATGCGCCCCCGACGTCAGGGTCTTGTAAAACTCTTCAAACGGCTCATTGAAAAGCTGTTCCTCATATGTCCAAGCAAGAACCTCGCCAGTGCCATTGTTGCGCATGGCCTCCCTCTCCTCTTCTGTGCGGCCATACGGGTGAAGGCGCAGGTGGTGGTACAAGGTCTGGGGCTTCTCGCCGCTCTTGCTGTCGTAGTACAACTTGATGGTGATTTCAAACTCTCCCCATCCCGTCTCGTTTACCACGAAACCCTTTTGCTTCTTGGCCGCGGGCTTGTTCTCGTTGTCTCGGATGATCTGCTCAGCGTCGCAAGTACGCAAGTGGTTCGGAATCGATTCATGTAGCTTAAACTGAACGCGACGGAGCCAATAAAAGATATCCGTATCCTCTACTCCCTTGACGAATACTGTCCAGCTGTGGGTGTGGTCGATTGGTACGCCCGGGGGACGAATGTTGTCAGTGTCGTTGAAGGGACGCGCAGTGGTGCCGTATATGAAGGGGCGATAGATCTGTACGCCCTTGACTCGCTTGCCGGCATTAGCGGGTGCCATTGTGGAAGAAACTCTTTACGCGTCGCGCGCCTTTAATGAATGGCCTCGGAGAAAAAGACACGATCGACGGTTGATGGTGACAATGATGAATAGGTAAAAGTCCATGGGAATGAGAATGAAGAGTAAAAGTTCAGCCTGGGGAACCCCGAAGGCCTAAAGGGTACACTTTTTTGGCGGGACACATGCAGTTGGTGGGGCGTCGTGCTGCTGCCCACTAGCGCGTTCGTGCTTGGAGGGTAAGTGGAACCGCCTTTTGGTTGATCCAATTTTTTGGAGCTCTCAGCCTCGCACATGCGCCGATGATGACATGACTTTGATGGAGCTTCTGGAAGCTCTGTGTAAGTGAAGATCTGGCCGAGCTCTTGGACTGAGAAATTTCACGATCCACGCCGATTTTCATGATACTGAATGCCCAGATCAAGTCAATTGCTTTAATATATTCATTTGGGATTTTTTTCTTTCGCTTGCAATTCGCTGCATTTCATAAAACTCGAAAAGAGATTGAATTTTGTGCGAATAAAAGAGTTTCCGGAGCTCCATTTTACGTTACGGTCTTTTAGTTGACTGGTCGGACACTATTCGGCCGGCTTATTGTTTGGTGAACAACTTTTAAGACGTGGAAAGTCACTGGATTTCAAAGATTTGCATTTTCTTCAACCGATAACAATGGCAACAAAAGCTACAAAACGAATTATTGTATGCGGAGGAAACGGCTTCTTGGGCTCGAGAATCTGCAAATATGCTGTAGCCCGGGGCTGGGACGTCACATCAATAAGGTACGCCATATATACCTCTCTCACCATGTTTTTAATGATCCTTTCAGCTAATTTCGACTTCTTCTTGTCAATCTCTAGTCGTTCCGGAGAACCAAAGTGGGAGACAGTGACAGCGTCCTCGACGCCACCCAGCTGGGCACACCGGGTGAGCTGGGAGCGCGCCGACATCCTCAAGCCAGCCACGTACGCACCGCTCCTGCGCGGCGCCGACTCGGTCGTGCACAGCATGGGCATCCTGCTCGAGGCCGACTACAAGGGCGTGCTCCGGGGCCAGGAGTCCCCCGTGTCGGGCCTGCGCAAGGCCTTTGCCGGCGGCGCGCGGCCGGGCAACCCGCTCGAGCGCCACGCCAGCGAGGACAAGGACATTCGCCCGCCCGAGACCCGCGAGCAGCTCACGTATGAAAACATGAACCGCGACAGCGCCATCATGCTGGCCAAGGAGGCCGCCGGGGTCGGTGCCGCGAGCTTTGTCTACGTCTCGGCTGCCGGCGGTGCCCCCGTGCTGCCCGCGCGCTACATTAGCACCAAGCGCGAGGCCGAGAGTACCATTGCCAGCGAGTTTCCTGGCATGCGAGGCATCTTTCCCCGGCCGCCCTTCATGTACGACTCGAGCCGGCCCTTGACCATGCCCCTGGCCGCCATGACGGGTGCTGGAGCCATCTTCAACAAGGTCACGGGTGGTGTGCTTGGTAGCTTCATGGGGGCGGCTGGTGCCAAGCCTCTAAAGGTCGATATCGTTGCCGAGGCCGTCGTGGAGGCCATGGACGATCAGAGCGTGCGAGGGCCCGTTGAGGTTCCGGAGATTGAAGAGCTAGCAAACCGGGCTTGGAGGAAGGGGATGCTGTAACATAATGCATAGACAATGAACGGCCCCAGCGAGAAATTCCGAGTGTACTTGTATGTATCAGATCGCCACTGCGCCTCCAGGGAAGTATTCCATATAGAATGTATCATATGTAAAAGTGCATCTCCAGATCACAATACAAAGATTAAATAGAAATTCGATCATGCCAGTATCATAAAGGTGACATCGTTAAGACTGTCGAAGCGCGAGCCAGATTCGATTGTCAAAGTATCACACTCAAAAGTTGGTGCATAGTCACGGTCATTGAAAGCAAGTGTTCGATATATAATCTTCGATTTAGGTGTTTAGATTGGAGTGATTCTCTCTAGGGTCCTTAAGCCCTGAGTGAATGTCATCCATCGCGCGGTCGAAAACCAGAATCGTCCGGGATGACATTGGAAACTGCGTGCAAAGCCGAGTCCTTGCCTAACCCCTTGGCAAATCTTCTATCGCCATTCTAGATTCCTTCATCTGTCTTACAGAGCATTGCCATCTTCTCTCTCGGCAGCTCATACCTCTTCATAAGACAAAGGAAATGCGAAGACGTCCCAAAGAGTGACGGAAGCCCTCGTGCTGTGCCAATGCCAAAAGTATATCATTTGGCCGTGTCGGAACATCTAGTCCCGCTCAGAAAGTCATAAAATTCCAAAGTTGATCCCTTTTCAGTTTTCCCGTCCCTGAACGCCATACAAGTGCATTGTAAAATACACATTAAACATTGGGATATCGCTAAATTCGATACCCGCTTGCGCCTAGCAAATCCAACGCCAAGCTGTCTTCGTACAGTGTGACATAGGAAATCGATCTCTTCAAAAGAGCAGTGAGTGGTGGTTATTGTTGTTGTTTCTTGTTTTGTACATCTATTGGGTTGCTTCGTAGGCTGGAGGTGGAACATCGTCTCTCTCTGCCCAGAAGGTCGGGTTGCGTTGCTTCTCGTCGTACACTCGGCGAGCAATCTCTCCAGCCATCTTTGTTATCCAGGCTTGCTCCAGAATAACGGACGAGGTCTCGGATCCCTCGTTGTGCTTGTTATTGGCAGAAACGGCCTCGGTGGCCTTCTCTTGTTGTGCCTTGGAGGCCTTGGTATGGTTTCCAGACTTGGCTGGCTCATTGTAGATTTCCAAGTTCAGAGGGCTGCGCGACGGCAGTACCTTTTCATCGATATGTCTGAAGCGTACCGACCTTGGCGATGGCTCTGCCTGTGGTACAGCTTCCTCGGGATCTTCCTGGATGTAGGAGGGCATGGGCTCAGAGCTTGGGCCAGCTACAGAATCTGTTTCGGTAGCAGTTTCTTCAGCTTCGCTTGCCGTCTCGCTGACTGTATCATTCTTGGAGCGGCGTAGGTTAACCACACGGGTCTTCTTTCTTCTGGACATTCGCTTCCGGCCACCAGACAACGTCAAGCCCGTGGTCGCAGAATTCAAGCTCAGCAAAGATGGCCGGGATGAGATCGACCCGCTGTCGACGCTGGCCGCGTCCGTGAAGGTATATGTCGTCGAGCTTCCTTGCACCGAGTGCGTTCGCACCAGACTTGGAGTGGCGAGCGGGGTCGAGCGGCCGGTATCAGCTCGGTCCATGGGTCCGAGCCAAGCTCTGAACATGGCGTTTTGAATTCCAGGGGTGAACAGCGACAGAGTCCGGTGCGACTCGTTCAGAGCAGCCAGCTTGAGCAAGTTCTTCTGCGAGAAAAGAGAGTGCAGCTGAGCGCCACCATCTAACGATATAGATGCGAGTTCATTGGCGTCAAGCACGTGACCTCTCGAGTCGACGGCATCTGGAGGTGGTGCAGCAAAAGGGTCGACGGCAACCTCATCGTCGGCATTCTCCTTTGATGCGTCTGCATCTTCCCGTGGGAGTTGATCCGGGCACCACAGACGCAAAGAGAGCTTGTGGATGATTGATGGCAGCTCGTCCATGAACAGGTTTCGGAGCTGACCCTCAATGGTCTTTTGCAAATAGTCCCGAACAAACTGGATCGAGTCAAAGGTTGACGAGACCTTGATCGACTCGAGTGGGTCATTTCGAAAGACTATCGTCAGGCCCTTTTGTTTCGAGAAGACTAATATTACAAAGGCTGACAGCTTGATCTCTGACAAGGTTATAGACAGAGGTATCGTCAGACCCGCCGCAGCAGCCAAGGGCTGTGGGGATGTGAACGATGGCTTTGCAGACAAGTATGTGTTCAAGGGGTTTGCCTAGGTGATTACCGCATTAGTGTTTGTTGTGGTGCACGAGCGTTGGAGTTTATGATCAAGTTGGAGAGAGAAGCGCGCATCCCTGTGACTCCAATTTCCTCTGTTTCATGCGCCGGTCCACCGATGCGACAAGAGTCAAGGGGAATAATGTGGATATGTAAGAGGGATTTGCGCGATGATGAGTCATTGGTAGAGATGATGATGGAAACGGTTTGTGTTGAATAGCAAGAGCAAACTAATGCTTGGAAGAGAAATGCATTGCGTTGTATCGCGTGGTTGAGCACTTGCTCGTGATAAGCTGCTAGTATTAGGAAAATTGAGACCCTGGAGATCCGAATCCACTTCTTCCGAAATGATCTGGGGAAAATAGACAAGCGAATAAATTGATTGACCTTGTCATCAACGAGAATGTCGCGCATCGCATCAAAGGGACCGGGGAATGCTGGTGTCATCCAGGGCAGAGTAGAGGGTGAAAAGTAGCTCATACCTGAACTCTCGTCTTCAAAGTCAAGTACGCATCGCCGGTATAGCACATTTTGAAGATTCCTCTAAAGCGATCCTCGGCCAAGTCACCAATCTCGAGAATCTCCAGCTCTGGCGGCACAGTTCCGAGATTGAGCTCGGTGACGAGGATATCATCAACAATGATGGGCGGCTTTGGGTTCTTGTTCAAAGCCGTGGTGAGGAGATCGCGGGCTCGCTGGTAGAAGGACTCGTCGGCCGCCAAAGGCGACCAGTTGAAATTGAAGGCCATTTCTGTCGTGGGGGGAGGGCGGCAAATGGCTTGATTGTATTAGAGTCGCATCGTATGCATCGGTTGAGGGATTGTCGCAGATGGTGATTTAGCAGGTAGCGATCCCCAGATCGAGGGAGTGGTTTCCTGGTGACGATGGTGGTGATTGTTGATGATGATACACGCGGCTCCGGGTGTGCGTAGGAGAGCTCGGAATTGCTGCCAGTGGTTGAAGCTCGAATCTGAGTAATCAAGCTCCAGGCGGTCGGTAAATAGTACAGTAATAGGCGAAGCTCTGGGTGGTAGTACAAGGAATCGACAGATCTGAAGGTAAAAAAGTAGATGGTCGAGTTGTGATTGAGTGGTGGTAGATGCGGAGGAAAATATGACGCTATGCGCAGCTCGTGTGCTTGCTTTGAACTCTGGAGCACCTCGGGTTCGGGGCATTTGTCGATTTTCACTGGCCGCAGCGTCCAGAATTTTTTTTTCTCACTTTCTGCGCAGGACCGGCAGAAAATAGTGCAAGCAGGGAGGGAAAGGTGGAGTGGAAAGGGTGGAGCAGCAGCACCTAGAGCTGCTAAGCTTGGGAACTTCTCAGCTTCTCGTCTAAAGGCGCGGAGCCGGAAACAAACGCGTTGGCTCAGAAGGGTCTAGCTCGACCTAGCAGCAGAGTCGGCGGTCCAATGACCGGACACCAAGACCTGAGAACCCTCGAAGCCCCGAGACAAGAGTGGGCAAAGGGACCATGATTGCCATGACCACCTGCATGCACAGTTGTAAATCCTGGAGGGACCCCAGATGATGCTGTCAGTCAGTCAGTCATTCAGTCATCAGTCAGTGCATTAAGAATCTCGACCTCAGTGGTGGGTTTCTCTGCATGCCGCCTCCATTTCAACCCGCCGAGGTTGTCACGCGATCATACTGACTGTGTACCGTGTTAGAAGCCCTACTATTGGTATGTCTGAATGCCGCACAGTATGTATGCATGCATTCCGGACTTTAGCAGCTTTCCAACACCCGAGGAGCTTCCTTCCAGCTTCACTGGTTACCCCGGCTTTGTCCGACATGTCAAATTATCAATGAATACGGGGTAGAACGGAGCCGACGGAACATGCTATCATAGTGTGTTTATGCCCATCCATGCATTTGCAACCTCTTTTCGTAGTCATTATTTGTGCATAATCGACATCCCAGCTGCCCGCACGTCTTTTGCACAGTAGATCTCCATGGGTATGAGGCCCGTAGTGGGGTGATGGTCTCGCCATTCTTTGCATTGTGGCACGGTTGAATGACGAACTGCTCTGGCTTTCGAGGCGTGCGCCCGTGCTACACTTTAGCTCTCTTCTTAGCGACCTCGTCATATGCTATTGCGTTATGCACGTGGATATGGAGCCTGCCAATCCTATACTGCCTCTTATAAACCCAACCTAGTGGTGGTGGTGCAAACCAAAAAAAAGATATGATGGTACTAGCCGTATGGTTGGTCTTTGATATGCTTATACTCTCTAGCATGTGACTTTCACGGACGTCTAGTATGAGTCCTAGAGTTCGTTAGTAAGGATAAGCAAGCCGTGCAACACGGCTACACTATCATTATGAACTCTGGCTACAGAGCAGCCTCAGCAACACAAGCAATGGATTTGGTATACAGCATTAACTGAAAAGACATTACACTAATGGTTCATCTCATAGCCCGTTACTCGTCATCTCTCTCTCTTATGCACGCAGTTGATCAATATCTCTTACATTATCTGCAACCGCCGCTCCATCAATCAATATCTCCACTCCGTCTATTCGTACCTCTCAATGAGACATCTTGTTTCCATTTTCGGAGTTTCTGTCCCGTGATAATAACCATTCTCTACCAGGTTGGTGTGGCTGTGCTGCCAGTACTCGGCCTTGCTCTCCCAATTTTTCCTATCTACATCGGCGAGCTTAATCTCGACTTCGCCATCTGCAGCCTTGGGCATGCGAACGAAGCAAGTACAGTCCCTGAGGGTCATGGCAAGTCCAAAGTCCTCATCTTGCGGGTTGGTAAACATGGTGTCACCCGGATCACCCTGGACTTGCAGATCTCTGAGTTTGTGAAAAATACCTGAGCTGGAGAATGCACGCTGTAGTCGATCCTGCTCCTCAGGTGTCCAGTCAGGGGCGAGCAGTTGGATAGTCTCTAGCACCACAGCAGGGTCTGAATCCACAAGACCTAATGGGCACACTGGCGGGGTAGTCTTCTTGCCCTCTGCTTGCTTCTCGCCATTTCGAAAGGCTTCACGTGCGCAAGTGCGGCACCGTTTGGCGTCCTCGGGCGCAATGGGCGACTGTGCCAGCCACTTTGGCTTGAACTCGAGTCCCAGGTCGCCCCGTCCCGGTAGCGGATTCATATCCTGGATCAGCATGGCGTAGCCCTCTGCTATCGAGCTCTCGGGCTCCCGGCGGCGCGAGTGCAGACCCCGTTCCGAGTTGAGGATTTTGTTGGCGCAACTTGGCACGCTGACCAGGAGCTGTGGCACCAAGTGCCGGGGACCAACTCGCGGACCAACGAGTTGCTCCCGGTACCGCTGTAGTTCTTCATAACTGTGTGGCCGTGTCCCCTCCACCTCCTTGGGGGCGCGTAGCAGCCAACCGTCTAGCTGATGGCCGCCCTGGCGCGGGATGATCTGAAAGACAGCATTTGCGCGACCCTCGGCGACATAGACGAACTTTGCGTCCTGGATCAGGTCCTCGACGACTTTGCGCAAAGTGTCGGGTCGCTCAAGATCGACGCCTGTGGCCAATGATCGTAGGCCAGACTGTAAAACCTGTTCGCATCCCGCACCATCCGTCGCCCCTGCTATATCTGAGATTGAAGGCATGATCTCCACTTGTTTGGAATCCTCGCACGCTCGCGAGCTGCTGAAGAACCAGCTGGGTTTGGATGGCTCCTCACAATCGCCCCTTCACGAATCCACACAGAGTTCGACTCCACCGATTGAGATTCCAGGACCTTGGAAGCTGGTTGGCAGGCTGTCCAGATGTTTCCCGGCGCAAATGACGTGTAAAGTTCCTCGCGGATATACAAAACGAATGACTGAGGGAACTCTCGGCCTTGATATATACGTGGTCTGGTAAGAACCTCGATTGCAACGAGGGATGTCCTGATGGATCAAGTCCTCCTTTGATGCTCCCAAAAATAGTGAATAGCGGATCTCCGCTTTTCGAAACCGTGATGTAGTTGCCTCAACGAGTGTCGTGTGACGGACTAAGCCACGTTAGAGATCAAAATTGGTCAAGTGAATGACGCAGGTGATCTGGGTACATTCCAATGAATGGGATGTTTATGGGTTGGGGTAGTAATGTGGTATAAAAAGAAAATCAAAGATGAAGCGATCGTGGTTATGGCATATATATAGCTTGCGATGAAGCGATTGCAGTTGATTTCTAGTGATTGCGGTCGTGATGGAGAGAGAAACGAACAAAAGATTAAATGCGTCGCCAGTCAATGACAAGTACTTGAACTTTTGCCCCCTTATTAGTGCGGTTGATCGCTCAGCGGCGCCTGGTCTGGCCTGGCCGACCTCTCTGCTTTTTTTAGGGGCGCGCGTCGCAACCGGCGAAAACAGGACCACCACCAACCAGTTTACCAAGCCAGCCTAAGGTACGCAACTTTTAGCTGCCTGCCTACATTATCTACCGACGGCCGCAGGATATGTGACATTTGGAGGCTCGGTACTGGCACAGCCCGGATCGAGTCAGGGTCTGTATCACTTTTTCTCTCATCTGGCATAATTCCGATGTGACGGGTCATATTGGGCCGGGTCGGTTCCCACTGAATATCTGACTTCCGACTCGTTCCCAACTTGCCGGAATCCAAAGAAATCTGCCTGACATTGGCTGCGCAAAGTCGCCCCGCAAGTTGACCGTTGAACCCGTTGTACAAAACGACCCGTGCCATGCAGCAAACCTTTAATATTGTCAATACAATGTCTCTATTATTGTCTGCCGGGGTCAACAGCGAGCGCATAGTGCACCGCCCACTGGATCAAGTCTGATTGCCTCCATTTTCAATAGTACTGCAATTATAACCGAAACGGAGAGATCCTCTCTTTTGACTTCAAATAGCATCTTTTAGAAACAGGACATCTGACAAGGGTGGCATGTATATGTTATTAGCCATAATATTGTCTGCCAAGGTTCATGACCGTTACCCACAGCAAACCAGCATATCCGTGATCTTGGTTGGGACAAGAAGGCCAATCCAAAGCAGCAATGGACGTTTTCTCGATAAACTTCAAGATCCCCAAGCCGTTGCTGGAGAGAATGTTAAACCTACCGGCCAGTCGGTAGCTTGTCAAGTATATGTACGATTCGTCGTGTGCTGACAAGATCCAAACTCCCGTGTAATGGTTGCAACCCATAGCAGAACCTTAGTCATAGCACAAATAAAGTTGTATTTTGTTTCTAGTCGTTCTTTGCAAGCGGTTTGGCCGTCTTTTCTTCTAGCGCCTTGACGAGACAATTTTTTGGTACGTCCAACATCCTGTGCAACCGCATGATGACAAGCATTTATTTTGACCAACCGTTAGACGCCTCAGGACACCATTACAGCTTACACTGCAATTTAAGCCCTCGCAAAGGCGATGAAATCGCGTATGAGAACAGCATGTGTCGGTATGCGGCCTCTATCGAGACTGCCTTATATGACAAAACTGGCACGATACATCAACCATGTCAAGAGAAGCATTGTATGTCATTGGTCATCTCCAGCTTCATTATATATTCGGGAGATGTTCACAAGCAACTGGTGCAACTTGCACGATTGCGTAGAGGGACACTTCAGCACATGCAATCATAAATAAAGAGGTTTCTAGGCAAAAACCCCAGCTCAAATTCAAGCCATTCAACGCGAGATAAGTCAGAAATGGCAAGAAGCTATGAAACATGCCTTCACGTCCGTACACATAATCAACATAGACCGTTGGTCTCAAAATTGAGACTTCTCAACGATATTTGCATTTTCTGGGGCAAGTCAGACGCGCAAAAGAATACATCAATATGAACCTATAGCCTACAAGCACATCATGATTTTCGATGGAAATTGTACGGCCACTACTTTCAAATAGCTGTCTTCCGTCTCAGATGGTTTATAAAGGTAGAAGCAATGTCAAATTCGAGGACTCGTTACTAGTTATTTCAAACAGAGGAAACCCCGTATGTCCGCCGTTTTCGATCCTTACACCGCATCGTCACATCAATGCTCGTGATCAAGTCGCTGTTTTGCATTTCCTTGCGCTCTTACCGTGCGGCTAAAAGTAGTCGTTCTCATTTGCATCTTGCAAGACAGCCTTGCAAGAGAGCCCCACTGCAAAAGAGATGCAGAATGAGTATCGGAAATTTATTCACTGCAATTTAAGCCCTCACAAGGAGCATCTTGTTCACGTACACACTGTCTTCCGCGCCACCCCTGTCCCCTCACGAGAAAGGAGTAGACAATGCCTGTAAGATAGCCTCGAGAGCAGTCAGCGCCCCCGCCACAATAAGAACATATCTCCAAATGCTGATAAATTTCTCTCCATTGTCGTTTCCCTTCTCAAATGGCTGCCTGCATTGTCACATGCTCCGGATAAAAACTCATATATTCAACCACGGCGTTTTGGGTTCTGGCAAGAAATACGTCAGTGGCTCGTAGATACTTACCAACTACACGCAACACTTGTAGATCTACGGTTTTCAGATGTTACGAATATCATATTTCTAAATTTTGGCTTCCTGTGTCGTGCCTCGAAACTTTAATGACAGCGTTGAGCGCAGTCCGTGCTTTGTAAATCTGGAAGATGTTGGCTTGCGAGCAGATGGCGATTTGATATAATTTTAAGCCGTACCAATAGACCATCGTAACATCATACTCTTCGTTGTTCTAGCAAGCTTAGGTTTTGAGACTCAAAATCCAACATATTTCGCTACATGTTTACAAGGACGATAATAGTGTCATGAAACCGGAAGATTCCATACTGAGAGCTGGGGCAAGGACAAAACCATGCAAGCCGCCCTGACCATTTGTCTGCCTAAATTATCAATCTGTCCCTCCCAAGCTACATGATTGGAAATCTCACAATGTAGTGTAACAGGCTAGGATTCATGGACCGCTACAGAACTGAAAAGGATGAGGTTCTTCCAAGACTTTTGGGATGTATCATCGCAGCCTTCCTAGGAATGATTGGACACGGATCGTTGTTAAGACTGCATGATAACGCTCCTGCCGTTACCAAGCCATAAGGAAGATAGCGCCGTCGCCCAACACGTAGGTCCTCATAAAAATGTCATTTCCTTCACTGCAATTTTTCCCCTCGCAAAGGGGGCACAGGGTTTCGTTAACATGGCCGTAAGGCTCCTTCAACTGCAATTTCCATTGTCACGAAGAGGGCACCTCAACAGCTATACTGGACTCATGGACCTCGACCTTTCAAATTTTCTTTCATTAGTGTACCTAGCTTTAGATCCGGGATGATCAATTAGTAGATTGAATATCTCAGAACATGTAGTATAATAGCCAAGAACCGTGGCCGCCAACAAACTTGAAAAAAGGTGAGGCTCCTTCAAGCTTTGTGAAATGTACTATCACAGCCCTCCAAGGCATGGCTAGATGTGGATTATTGGTAACACTGTGTAATGACGCCCTGCCGTTTACTGAGCCATAAGGCTACCTGCGAAGTGGGAGGACACTCACTTTCGAAGAGTTATTAGGCAAGGCGTCCGAGCCTCGCCTTCACTGCAATTTTCCCTCTCACAAAGGGTTCAAAAAAGTTTACCGAGGCGTCTACCACCAGCTCTGCACACAGCCTGACTTGTTATTATAAGCATGGAACTTTTGGACCCGTCTGATATGTGCATGCAATTTCAGCTCTCTTGGAAAAGGTCAAGTTCGGTGAATTCCTTCACTGCATTTCTTCCCCTCAAAAAGAGGGCATCGTTACACCAGAGACTTTTGCTCCTCAATGCCCATACCATTAGCAACTCATGGGTCCTGGCCTCGCAAATGTTCTTTCAATATTGTAGCTTTAGTTTCGGGATGATCAATTAGGATCTTGCTAAAGGCGAAACATCAAGGAATCGGGCCTATGCCCATGATAACAATGTTCACAAGTGCAGGTAAATTCCAGGTTCATTCTATCAATGCTGAACAGCAACATATGAGTATCGATAGCTCTATGATCCCCCAAACGCCCAGAACACCGTACACAGAACTCTTGAATTTCCAAAAATGCTATAATCCTACGAACTATACCAATGCAATGCCGTCCCATGCTGTGCTCATTAAATACCCGCAGCCGTAAAACTCAACAAACTTCCAAATGTCAAGCCTGCCACGAGGCAAAGTCCCATGAATCCACCGGAAGCCTCTCTCTCGCCCTCGTCAACCCACTCTCCGGCGGCCATCATGCAGTTGGACGCCAACCAGCCATTGGTCAGACCGTAGGGGAACTGCACCAGTAACAGGTAGAAAACATCCGAGTTGATGACGGCGCCCCGGCCGTGAATATTGCACAGCGCGTAAAGAGGGAGGAACAACGTTCTCATGATGCTGACGGCAAACAGGATCACCGGCCTGTCTCGGCAGGGGAAAATCAACGCACTAGATCGCCCACCTAAATCGCCGAGGTTCCAAAAGAAGAAACCCAGAGGAATGAAAGCAGCCGGCTTGAGCAACGGGCTTGCCGACTCGGGCGGCGTGACCGAGAGGACCTTGGGCGTGAGGACCGGGAAGAACATGGCAATGGCAAAGCACATGAAGACGGCAGCCGCCAGCCAGTGAAGCTTTCGGAAGAGCGTCGAGATGCTGACGACCTTGCGGGCCGCGCGCTCGGCCTCCTCGATCGAGTTGAACGATGCGGCCATGTTTTCCACCATGCGGGATTCGACGATGCGGTTATGACGGCGCACGAGCGGGATGAAACCCACAATGGCCAAAAGCGAGACAAGGACGGCCGTCAAAAAATAGATGAACGCGGCATGACCAGCTCCGTGCGTGCCCTCAGCAGCATCTGTTGTCGATTCTTTCGGAGGCGCAACCAGAACCGAGATGATTTGAGTGAGGGGTGGCAATACGCCGGCAACACCCTGACCAGCCATAATGGCCTGCATATACTCGGGCCTGCCAAAGCTTGCAGCAAACGCAAACGCTCCATTCTGGATAAGGCCTGCTGCCCAAGCTGTTCCAGCCACCATAATCAAAACAAAGACGAGGTATTGGCCCGGCGTAGCATCCAAAAAGGCACTCGTTGAGATGGTGAGGAGCGCAAAGACGGCAATGTTGATATAAAGCGCCAGGTTGATCCGGAAGGGATACGACGCAGTGTATTGAATATTGGTGAGGATCGCCATGGCGCTCAGGTTTGTGACCGTGGACACGGATATAATGGCCGACTGAAAATTCTGTAGCACCCATTCATCCGTCTGGAAACGTCCTTGGAAGTACGGGGCAGCGGCGAGGAACATGTTCCTAAAGGCACAAAACTGTCAGTAGGCTGCGGGTTGAATTTCGGGAGAAAAGATTGCAGTAAACATACCAGGCCCAGAGCATGGCCACTCCCAAGAGCGCAAAGATGCCATATTCCATCCATGAGAATGGCACGTCATGCTCCTGTTCGTGCGATCTGGTATTCTCCAAGAACTGCGAGTCCTCGTTCAAAGGCGCATACTCCTGCTCAGGCTCCTTCTTCTGGAACAAGGATCGTATCCGATCCATAGTGCTCGGCTTTGGAGGGCGTACTCAGTGCCCAGGTTGGTATATCGAGTATGATCTTCAGAGTCGAACAACGATTGAATTCGTGTAGTGTCTTTTGTCTATCCTTTGACAGAGACCTCGGGAAAATATACACCGGTGCTCAAGTGGTAGGTTCCAGGCCGGTTGTCGACGTGGAAAGACCGAAACCGGGCTGCTCTCTTGATGGCCGGCGTTTTATCAACTTATCAATGCATGACTTTGTTGAGACAGGCGATTTCGAACCTATCGATCTTGTTCGTGACTTTGCCTATGTAGTGGTCGCGCGATGTTGTTGGGGGGGTTCCTGTATGGTGAATGGTTGGCCCGTTGTGCCTGAAGGGTCATTCGTGCATGTCATCAGCGAGATAAGGGACGTCGTGACTCGCTGATCTGGGAGGCTGCGGGCGCCCACAGGTCGTTTTAGTGCGGTACCCTTAGCAGCAGTCCACTCCACTTTTGTAGGCGGTAAACTGCCCGGGTGATCCGCCCCAAGCGATCTCTCGGTAATTGTCATACATTTACACGGTACATTATCGCCGAATTTAAGCTTGTTTTTCTTACCGCAGTCCCGCGTCAATCAAATACACCCAGCGATATGTTCTGCTGTGAACAATAGCACTTACATACACTTACTCACTCATTCGCACTCTAGCATCGCGCACTCAGTATTAATGATTTCCATTTGCAGTTCTATAATAAAGTACTATCAGTACCCGGCAGCAGTATGGTATCAACCGTCCAAAACAACTGAAAACCAAAGCGCATGTAGTGATTCAGATCATGCATCCGTCCTTGCCAAGAAAAAAGCTGTTGCCTATAACACGCTGGGAGGGGAATAGGCACTCAGTCTGCCCAAAATGTCCTGGAGATTCAGCTCCATGCTTCACACCTTTCACGAGACTGTATAGCCCTGATACTTCACCGATCAGGTCAGCACATCTCTCACTCTATATGTTCCAAACTGCTGCCGCCAAGTAGTGCACGCAGATTATACGTCAAATCGGTCCACATTGCCATGCTATTCTCCGACAATTCTTGTGCTGTAGACGTTGCAGGATATTTTCGCAATCCTGGCCGGTATTTCGAACTCGTCAGACCCATGGCCGTGAGCGTTTAGTCCAAAAGCTCCAAACATGAAGTTGAGGCTATTTCAGGATCTATTTGGCGCTTCTGCGGAAGGCCAACAGCTCCGAGAGGCTGGGAATCGGGCAGCCATGCTTGAGGAAGTCATGCTGCAAAAGCTCATCTGACGAGGCACGGCTCTTGACGTCGACACACAGACAAACAGAGAGGAAAGCCTTGAGCTCCTTGCTCAGCTTCTCCGGCTTCTTGAGTCGTGGTGTTCCGTTAGTAGCGATGAGGTACAAGGCCTTCAATGGCTCCTCGTTCAGATATGGGGGCTCCGATTCGATCATCTCAATAGCCATGATACCAAGAGACCAGATATCGACCTTGGGGCCATACTCCTTCTGCTTAACCACCTCGGGAGCCATCCAGTACGGTGTTCCAACCATGGTTGCACGCTTAGACTTGGTCTCAGTAAGCTTGGCGCAGAAACCAAAATCAGCTGATTTTGTGTTAGCAACAGGCTCTCAATCCAACATGGTATTTTTGCCATCAACTCACTAATCTTGACGCTGCCACGAGCATCCAGCAGGACGTTATCACTCTTGATATCACGATGGATGATCTGTTGAGAGTGAAGATGTTGCAGACCGGCACAAGTCTGCGACACGTTAGTTACCACTTCTCATTATGAAATCATGTTTTGCTTACCTCGAGACAAATGGTAGAAATTTGCTCTTCCGTAATGACCGGGTTGTTGTCAATGACATCAGTCAAGGCACCACCCTCCATATACTCCATAACCACCCAAAGCTCGGCGTTGTTGTTTCGCAGGAATGCATCCAGGAAGTTGACAATGTTGCGGTGTTTGCTGTCCTTCATGACCATAATCTCGTTAACAATGAGCTCCTTACGGGGTTGGTGAGCCAGATCCATCTGCTTGATAGCGACCTGTGCTCTAGGTCCTTGCGAACGCAGCACCTCACGAGCCACTGCAGAGACGGCCGTCTCCTTGACCTTTGCGACGTAGACGGAACCGGAAGCACCCTGACCAATCTTCTTCTGCTTGGAGTAGGACAAGTTGGGGTCGTCCTTGGAGACAGCCTCGATAAGTTTTGCCATGACTTCCTTCTCCGACATGGTGGACATGCGAACGTCTTGCTTGCGCTCTGCTGCCGTTGGCTTGGCGGTCAAGGCCGCCTCGGCAGCCTTTACACCATCGCTCGGTTGAGGCTGAGGCTTTGCAGGCACATTGAGAGGCTTGACAGGTGCAGGCAATCGAGAAGCTTGGCTTTGAGCTTGTGACTGGCCGTTTGTACGTGGCTGGGATGAGCCATTGGTGCCATTGGGATACCGCTGAGCATTGGGGTTCTCGGGTCTCGGGGGTGCCTGGCGCTGCTGAACCGAGGAGGAACTCTGCTGTGTCGCAATAGGTGGTCGCTGGGCAGATCCGGGAGCAGGAGGAGCCGGCCGTTGGGCCTGGAGCCGGGCTGCTTGCTGGGATGCAGAGCCCGGGGCCGGCGGCGCAGCACGGGTCGGGTTGTAACGATCGGGCGAGGCACCGCCGTAACCCCCGCCAATTTCCTGCTGCGCGAGCGGAACCTTGGTCTTGGGCAGAGAAGCATTGTATTCCTCCAGCTCTCTTCTCTGATCTTCCATCTCCCTCTGCCTTTGCATCTCGAGCTGCTTCTGCCTCTGCTGCTCGCGCTGGGCCTCGGGCGACACATAGTTGGAGGCCATGGCCTGCATCTGCTGCCTCTGCTGTGAGGTTTCGCCTGTGCCAGGGCGGCTGGCATTGGACATGGCCTGGTTTGGTTGGCCAGGGCCATAGCTGTTGTTACGCTGTGCTGGAGTTGGGGGAGCTGGCCTGGGCGGGGCCACGGATGTTCCTACACCATAGCCGAGCTGCTTGTTGCCCTGGCCGCCGGCCGGAGGCGTTGGTGTCAGGCTCGAGTACTGCTGGGGGTTCTCTGCTCTCTTAGTAAGATCGGAGTAGAAGTCCAGAACCTCAAAGACTGCTTGGGGATTGCGCTCATAGTCTTCCTTGGTGATAGCTGACGAGTTGAGCAACTTGGACCACTCTGGGGGCAAGCCAACGAACTGGCCAGTAGACGGATCGAAACCGACATGCACCGCATGTGAGAAGTTGGTCGGGTTGCTCACGCCACCCATGGTAGGGCATCGGCCGTATAACATATCGATCCAGTCGTATAGATCATCATCAGTCTTGGTTCTGATCTGCAACGTCCGTATGCCATTATCGTCGTCGCCGGGGCTATTCGACTGGGTGCCGGTTTGTCTCTTGATTTCAAAGATGGTACCGGCAGCCTCGACTCTGCCCACTCCCACAACATCCTTTAGATACAATGTGTACGAAACCTTACCGCCCTCGGTCTTGTGGAAGTCTAGCGCTTCCTTGCGAAGAATGAGGAACTTCTGTTTCCAGGGCTGAATGAAGTTGCGGCTCTCCTTAACGGTGGCCCACCCCTCCTTGATGACAGCGACACCGCCCATACCGTCATTGTTGGAGCGCTCACGTGCCAGCGGTAACGAGATGGTCGAGCCCGTGTACGTTGAGGTAGCTGTCCGAGGAACTGGCGATATGGTCATGTTCGCCATGCTGCCGGGCAAGTTGGTGTTGGGGGTGATGTTGAGGCGCGGTCGGTCGGTGGGCGGACGAGGTGCCGGGCCAGGGTTCATAAACTGACCAGCGTTGTAAGCACTGCCATTGTTCGCCATGGTTAGTTTTGATGGAGATTGGGCAGCGCAGAGGCAGCAAATGGTCAATTCTCAAAGTTCGGTCATGAAACATCAAAGAGTCGTCGCGCTCTCGTCGAGTGTCCAGGGCTCAAGCAGGGCACTGATTGCAAAAGGGTCGACACTCTTGAGTGGGCGCCTGCAATAGGAAGGCAGGAGGTGGGTAATAGGTAGGACTGGACGACAGGCTCAGGGAAACTCTAGTAGTATGCCCCGCCGCCACTTTCGAGGCCTAAGGGGGGGGGGGTTTGAGCTCCTGAGTTCAGTTCTGGGCTGGACTTGGACTGGGTTGGGTTGTGCTCGGCTGTAACTCTCTGGCTCTAATGCGTAATAAGATAGCCGTCGGCTCTTTTGGCTCCTCAGCTTCAGCGCTGCGCAATGCAAAATAGTCGGTCGCTCGACAGACTGGATGAGGGCGATTGACCGCCAAGGGCGGCGCTTGGGTGCGGTAGTCCGTTTATTCGGTGAATTAATTTGGTTCATTGATGGGTTCGTTCCTTGTTGTGACCCAGAACCATTGAATTGGGGGTGGGAAGACGGAATTCCGTCGATCGATACTAGGACAAAAGAAAAAGAAAGGAAAAAACGGATAGCTACAAACCAAAAAGAATCAGACGTACCTCTTCTGCTCTTCTGCCATTTGTATATACTCTGTACACCAACAACTAAACCGTGAGCCTGCGTCTCTGCTGTATGTGTGTATGTATGCGTGCGTGTTACGAGTTCAAGGGTCGGTCAGGCAGGTGGTAGCTAGCTGTCTTCTTCAGCTGAAGCGCAAACCAGACTCGAGTCGACTTCCCAGATCTTGTTTCACTTGAACTGCGCTCGGGCAAAGATTCGCTACTGCTTTTGCTGCTGCCGATGTCGTCCAGCAAAGGTTCAGCACTAGAACAGGTAATATTCGGACGTCACTAAAGGTAGAAATGCGCCAACTGTAAAATTAGCTCCCAAGCGCTCCTCCGAATGCCTGGACTTTGGAGAACTTGTGACGCAGCGCCTGCTTTCGCCAAGCGCAAAAAAAGGAGCACAATGATGCAGAAGCGATGAATGAGTGAGTGGCAGTTTGCAGCGTGCAGTAAGTGTGCAGGGAGCTGCGTCCAGTAGAGGCAGACCAGACGGAACAGGTACCGTCAGAAGGGGGGCAACTGAGGGGTTCAATTTCATGCCGCCGGGACTCACCAAAAGGAGGGCAACAAAGTTGAAAGCCTATGAATAATGCACACAGGCACAAGACAGGGCCCATTGAATGATGTCTTATTACAACTACAGTCCCATGCATAAAGAGCAAAACCCGTGACCAACAATTCATCGGTCGAAATGGTAAATCTAGCCGCCTATCTTCCTCGGGGGCTTTTGCAACCGTCTCCAAGTGTTTCTCCTGATAGTGATGTACGAGTAGTAGAGCAAATACGTAGTACGTACTATGTAGTATGCAGTCTGGAGGAAATGTAGGCATGTTGCTGGCATGTAGACGTGCGTCCAAGTGGAGTTTGGAGCCGCCGCGAACAAAGTGCTGGCGCGCTTCGAACCCCGCCAAGAGATTATGAAAGGGGGTCCTAGGCAGATCGACAGCGGGAGAGCCGCTCGTTGGTTGACGATATGGTTCCTGAGGCAGAAGAGAGTCCTCCTCGATCCAAACACCCACGCAAGAGTATTGTTCAGATCGATTTTCTTGTCAATTATACGCAATCCAATAATATGACAAATTCGCCAATGGTTGAACCAATACTTCAGGTTCAGTAATCTTAAAGACGTGGCGTCTCCTTGATTCTGAATTTTTACCTAGTCTTTTAGCATCTTTCGTCCACTTTTAAATAATTATCTACAGACATTTCCAATTGGCAAGTCAATTGGCTTTCAATTCAACAACAATAACTACCTACCATTCAACTGCGGCCATCTGGATTTGCCTATACTTTGTACACGAATCATACTTATTTATCCCCTTTGTTTCCGGTTAGACTGTTGACAATTAAATCATGGTATATATGTGTCTCTTGTCTGCTTTGAAAGCGTTTAATGCTCTGGGATCTTTAAGAGAGAGTATTGTTTGCTGCCAGTCACAGCTGAAAGCGCCAGCAGGGGCCCAATGATCTCCAGGACCCCCATTGTTCCATAGAAGTCGCATGGGTCAAAAGTCAGGCCATTTCGCACTCCCTTTAACGGATGCTGGACTATTTGCGCCTGCATTTCTCTTATTCCTTCTCTCTCCCCGAAAGGGGTCATTCATCACTATTAGATCTGCAAATACAAATTTGCCACAGCGCACACAGATTGTGAGACTGATTGCAGAATCTGGTAGAGATGGGAAAACAGCTGCGTGGGTGAATATAGGAGGTTTGCTGATCTCCATAGCGCTACAGGGAAATGGCTATTGCCCAACTGTGCCCGAATTTGTAGCCGGTCTTTAGCAAAGCAGATTAGTAAATGGAGAGTGTATTCCCAACCCCTGGCATAATCCACTCGCAAACTTTCTCCTTGTGGCTTGCGGAGGCTGATGTGTTACTTTCTTGAACGCCCGCGGGAGATCGCCATTCAGGTCCCACGAAACCGTCAAAGCTACAGTACACCAGCTGCAGGCCGGTGAACTCTGATTTTCCCATCACCGTCATTGTAGTCTGTGCATAGTCGGACAAGTCTGGGAAGGTAGGGAAAGAAAAAGTCGGGGATTGAAAAGTCGTTTCGACAATGCTTCCTGCCCATCCGTCAAAAAAGTGACAAAGCGGCCCAGGCGTCCGGTTCTTCCCCATGCAATCATCAATCGGCCGTGGTAAGCGTCGACAGGGGTTCTGTGACAAGATCCGCACATCGGAAACAACATTTTGAAGTGTCTGTTCTCGTGTTTCGAACAAGAGCTCTCCTCTCGCTTGCGCTACGGCTGTTCCATGTCAGCAAGGCCATGATTGGAAATTCTTCTGAACGGGTACCTGCTTATTAGGTGGTGCTTCAAACTCTATTGGAGGCAGCAAGGGGGCTTTCGCAGTGGCGATGGCATTACGAAGCAGGTGGTGGACCAAAGACTTGGCAGCCAGTATAGGTGATACACAGGAATCTTGTCCCCAGGAACCTCATCACAGGGGTCTTGTCATCAAATTGCGAAACTCAATCAATTACGCCTGAGATGGTCTGCCTTGCTCAAGTAATATCTAGGAATGATTTTCTACCGAGGTAACTTGGAATGGCCTCGACATCCGTCAAGCATTGGATAAACTTGCTCTCTCAACCTTTGCCGGGTGTACATTTAGTAAGTCGTCAAATATAGCAACAACAGACGTCGATTTGCATCACAACAGGTACCGGTAGGCAGGTAAGTCATTGTGTCAACCATCGCAGTTTATAACTACTTTCTATTTGGAAAACCGCCTATCGGACGGTCACTTCAACTTCCTGGCCTTCAAATGCAGGCAATTCAGCCTGGACATCTTCCCACGTCTTGGAACCCTCGACCACAGCTTGGATAGCGGCAACGATCGTGTCCTCGTCAGCACGAACCTGCTTGGTCGAGTCACGATCTCTGAGTGTGATGGACTTGTCCTTCACAGTCTGGAAGTCAATGGTAATGCCAAGTGGTGTACCAAGCTCGTCGTTACGGCTGTAACGCTTGCCGATTGTAGCTGAAGAGTCATCAATGCGGCTAGAGATACCCAACTTGCGAAGTCGTTGAGACAGATTGGCGCAGAAGGGTCTGAATTGGTCATTGCTGGAGAGAGGCACGATAAGAACCTTTGTGGGTGCCACTGTGGGAGGGAAAGAAAGGACCTAGAGTAGGTGTTAGTATTCAATAAAAGTCTCTTGATCCATGTGTCACTTACACCACGGGCCTCATCACCGCCCTCGCTGCCACGTGTCCAGTAGCAGTGCTCCATGAGACTGTAGAGAATACGGCCAATACCAAAAGATGGCTCAATAACGTTGGGAGTGAACTCCCGGGTGTTCTCGACCCGCTTTCGCTTGGCGATAGTGACCAGCTCCTTGGGCACAACCACCTTGCCGTCACCGACACCAGGAACATCAATGGCGATGGAGTCGGCCGACTCCAGAGTCTTGGAGAGCTCTTCCCTCTTCTCTTGCGAAGTAGACACGAGGGCCGCCTCAACAACCCTGCCATCCTTCTTGAAGTGAGGGCCAAACTTCTTCTTGTCCACCTCGACTTGGTACTCTTCAATGGTAATGGGCTCAGGCAGACGTTCACGCACGAGCAGCGGAGCGCCAGTCTTCTTTGCGTGCACGCTGAGATCGTAGGCGGAACGGTCAGCACAGCCAACACACTCAATCCAGCCATACGAAGTCAGAAGCTCAGCGTCCCAGCAGTCGGCAGCATAGTGAGCCATCTCGTTGGCCATGTGCTGGCGGAAACGGATCTTGGTCTGGTCCACACCAATCTTCTTCAAGAAGAGGTGGATGCGGGCAAGGAAGTAACCCAGGGTCTCATTGTCCACAGTGCCGTTGGCGACGGCCTCACCAATAGTCACCTTCTTCACGTCAGTCTTGCCAGACAGCTGAGTCTCTCTGTTGAGCAGAACAAGCTCAACATCCTTGACGTCGTTGAATCGGGTGTGCTTCTTGCCACCCTGGGGGTCGACGAAGTGCTCAATCTCGGCCATCAAGAACTCTCGCACACGCAAAAGACCGGCTCTCGGGGAAATCTCATTTCTGTAGGATCGGCCAATGGAGGCAGAGGCGAAAGGCATCTGCTGCTGGTTGTACTCTAGCAGCTTGGCAAAGTTCAAGAATTGTCCCTGAGCAGTCTCGGGTCGCAGGTAACCGGGCACGTTGCTGCTCGGGCCAATTGCAGTCTGGAACATGAGGTTGAAAGCCACAGGAGGCGAAGGCTGAACGCCAGTAGCAGCATTTCTGAGGTCGTACTTCTTGATCAGCTCACCGAGCTCGTTGCCATCGTAGTTGTCAATCTTGGCCAGAATCTCCTCATACTCCTGCACAACAGCGTCTTCGAGCTTGACAGCCTCGACGGCGCCCTTGTTCTTTCTCTTCTTCTTCTTGGGGTCCTCCTCCTTCTCCTCAATCTTCTGGCCACGAGCCTCCTTGTCGCCCTTCAGGCGCGTCTCCAGCACCTCCTCAACAAAGTGGTCAGCTCGCAGGATTTCGCCGTTCTTGGGGTCCTTGCACATCCAGTCGGCGAACTTGTCAACGTGGCCACTTGTCTTGAGAACCTCGTGGGGAGTCAAGACACTGCAGTCGACCTCGAGCATGTCCTCCTCGAGAATGAAGTGCTTGCGCCATTGGTCAATAATGTTGGCCTGCAGACCACAGCCCGGCGGGCCGTAGTCGTAGAGACCGGCGATACCACCGTAAATCTCAAAAGCAGGCGTGTAAAACAGGCGACGTCGGAGTAACGAGTCCAGGGCAGGACGGTCGAGGGGCTGGCCCTTGAGGGTCGTTGCTGATGGGGCCATGTCTGTCGCTCCCTTTGGGGATTTTTTCTTCTGTGGGACAATGTATCGATGGATGGGTGCAGACGTTTGAAAGGCCCTGCGCAGCGACAGTGACGTTGGTGCGGGTGTCACTGGTAGTATACGCCGGTAGCAATAATTGTTGTTTATACCATTTGTGAATGGTTTCGCAAAAAAGTGAGGGCCCCTCATTCAAAACGAAGCTTCGAGTATGCGATTAGACAATGTGAATGAGTCACTAGCCAATCATACCTACTCCACAATCCAGTAAGTAAACCCCGAGAATAGGAAATGCAGCTTGTGTGGTTCCGAGATCTGGCTCGAAAAGGCACCCAGTGACTCTTTTCTTCAGTGACCCGGGCCGCCTGCAAATTGAGTCAATTGGGCTTGGAAGCGGAAGCTCGTTGCCCCGAAGATTCTCCTCTAACCAACAATGACCCCTCCAAAAAAACGCGGTCAGCTCAGGGCCAGAGGCGTCTTTTGGCCATAACCCCGCCATAGCGCCATGCCTTGCTGCGTTATCGATAAGAAACAGGGGACCCCTGCAGCTAAGTGCTAGCGAGCTTGCAATAACTTTTTTTTTTCCTTGTCGGAGCACTGGTTGGGAATGTTCATTTTCTCTGCAAATCCAACCCCGGATCTTCAATCCGGCAAACCTTGAGGCTGTACACGCCAGATATAGCCTCGTGTTATTATTATTCGAGAAACTACGTACTGCAAGGCGATTTCGAATCATATCTCGAATTTGATTTTCCTGCGATTATTCAAAGACACGATCTTTCGCAAACATGGCGCCGAGCCGGTCCAATGTCAGTCTTACAAAGAAGACTGGCAATAAGCTTCGTCGCAAGTCACTCTATGTAAAGCAAAAGCAGGAAAATGAGAAGGAAAAGCGAGCAGAGAGGTTTAGGAGGAAGAAGGAGGAAGCGCAAGACCCTGAGGCGAGGAGAGAGCGTCTCGAAAAGAACAAGCCCATGACAATCGACCGGAAACGAGTGTGGGATGATGTCGATGACGATGGCTTGTACGCGAGTGTCAACATGGAGCAGCTTCTCAAGAAAAGACGGCAACAACAAGAGGAATCTGAGGAGCTGGCAGCCATAGAAGTCAACAAGAGCGCGGAAGACGACGAAGAGGCACACGACGACGATGTGGATAGTATGCTTGGCTCGGAGGACGAAGAGGACGATGACGAGGATAGCGAGGCTGCAGCACAGGCTCGTGCAAGAAGAGCCATAAGGGAAGACAGCATGGCGCCTTCGACAACTTCCACAAATCTCGATCTCACGCCCCAGACGCTCATCGACAGATTTCCCACGCTCTTTGAAGCGCCTCCCGAGCCCAAGGTTCTCGTCACCACTGACCTCAACGCGACCATACACGAAGAAGCCCAAAAGCTGTGCGGCCTCTTTCCAAACTCCACCTATGTGCCACGCTCATCTCACAAGTACGGGCACAAGTACAGTGTGCGGGAGATCAGCAAGTTTGCCGCGAAAAGAGGTTACACTACTGTTGTGGTCGCCCGGGAAGACCTCAAAAGAATACACGGCATGGACATTGTGCATTTGCCGTCGGGACCAACATTCCACTTTAGCATCAGCAACTGGATCGATGTGTAAGTTCAAATTTGTGTTTATCTACAAAATTCTGGGGCGGCGAGTGGTGTGTATGGCACCAAAGATCCAAATCACGAATGCCAGAGCGAGGAAGAATGGAGCCAACTTGACATAAAAGGACAGAGAATACTGACACGGTTTCCATGCAGCAAAAAGCTTCCTGGTCACGGTAACCCAACAAATCATTACCCAGAACTTCTCTTGAACAACTTCAACACGCCTCTAGGTTTCCTGACGGCAACGCTTTTCAAAACGCTGTTTCCGCCGAGTCCTGAACTTCAAGGTCGTCAAGTGGTAACGTTTCACAACCAGCGCGATTACATCTTCGTGCGGAGACACAGATACATTTTCAGAGAAAAGAAGGCCACTGAGAAGAGTGTCGTTGGTGCTGATGGCAAGGAGTTGAAGGGAGTCCAGGACATTAGGGCACCGATACAAGAGCTCGGCCCTCGATTCGTACGTGTTTTTGCAATCATTCATGTTGGGTTCATCACTAACTTTGATAAACAGACTTTGAAGTTGCGGCGCATCGACAAGGGCATCGGACGTGCAGGCAGTGAAGGAGATGATGCGCTTCAATGGCAATGGAAGGCGAAGATGGAGAAGCAAAGGACAAGATTCAACCTATAAGCACTTCCTTGCTTGTTTGGGTAGAGCTATCTGTGGAACACTATTAGGAGGACTATACCCAAGACTAGAGATCAATATACTTTGATGTGGTGGAATTTTCCGAGCAGTAATTGCACACTGGTGGACCTCTTGTCAATACTATTTCTTCATGTCAAGCCACATTTTCAAAGCCACGCCAGACTAGGAATTCTGAAACAAGGAGACGATTCTTTAGCCATTCCTTACTATTCTGGTCGACTCCACACATGAACCGTGCTTCTCTATACCCCAGACGATGGTCTCGTTTGCAAAAAGGGAAATGATCCGTTCAAGCATGCATTTAGTGTACATGAGGCTGTATGCTGGTTGCCAGAGCACTGGAGTCCAATGGTGAGGATTGGGCATGTGCTGGACATGGGATCAGACCGATATCATTGGTTGAGGGGGCAGAGTAGAAATCAAGGAAGAAAACGTGTGTATAGGAAAGCTCTCAGCCGCTCGAGTGAGACTGGTTCGACTGGTCGGTACTGTACACACGCTTCAAGTGGGGTGGAGGCGCAGCTGTCAAGCAACTCCAGTCCTGTGCCTGGCCGCCTTAGATATGCCCCTCAGTAACGTCACTTTAACATTGTGACTTTCCGGGCAATCCACAATTTGATTGAGGCTTGCAATCGCTTCGTACACCGTGACAGGCATTCCCATCTCTTGGATCGCATTTCTCCAGATATCCTTTGACATTCTAGAGAACCGTTCATCATTCGCTACCTTTTTTCCCGTGCAGAGATAATCGACTCACTCTGACAATATGCCGGAGCTGGCTGAATCGATAAACGCCATAAAGGAAGGCGCCAAGGAAGAGCCCTTTACCTACCTCACTATCTTACAGTATCATGTCACCTCACCAGATGTCCTGCCTACCCTCAACGAGGTGCTCGGGTCCAACGGAAAGCTCGCCCAGGATATCGGCTGGGACTTGGTGCAGCTGTTACTGGACATTGATGGGTCCGAGGCATGTCTGGAAACGGTAGCCCGTCTGGGCAACCCTCGAGAGGTCATTATCAAGGTCATGGAGGCCCTCGAGGGTTTGAGTGAGACTTCCGTCGATGAAGCTGCCCTGCTGGCAGACGCAGATGTTCCCGAGCCTCCCACAAATGTGACGGGCAAGTTCGTCATCTTGCTCGGAATGCTAGCCATTCTGCAGCGGCGCATCAAGACAAAGTACCCCTCTAGATTCCTCGGATCCTCGCTGGTCAAGGTCTACGAGGCGTATCAGCCAAATCCCGAGATGACGGCTTCAGTGATAAATTTGGTCCGATCCCTATCGGGTCGCAAGAGGCCGCCTCTGCCCACGAGGAAATCCAGTGTCAATGTGGCCAATCCAGACCAGGATGGTGACGCCTCCAAGAATGCACCAGATCCCGAGGCCGAGCAGGAAGACCCTACCGAGGAGAAAATGCAGACAAAATTGCTCCAGTCCTTTGTTACTTGCATTCTGCAGAAATATGTCAATGAGAACTGGATGCAGTGGTCAGCCAGACTGCTGGAGCATTATCAACCAGAGAAGAAGATCCCTGGACGCAAAACTATCATACAGTCCTACACCGAGGATGCAGATCTCCATGAGAGAGATGCTGTAGTTGGGCAACTCGTCGTAAGTGTTTTGAAATAATCCTCTACTTTATCAGAAACCCACTGACAATCATAGGCTCTGTCTCGAGACTTGGGCTTGAAAGAGGCCTCGGCCTCCTTTGTGAAGAGCTTGTATGAAGGGGCCACGGGCTTTGACCCAATGGCAGCATATGATGACCTCAGTACTGCCGACGATATTCACTTGTCGCCTGGTGGCGCTGTGTGTCTTATTGCCTACTGGCTATTTTCCGGCGAGGTCTTCCAGGCAGACAGCCCTCAACCCGAGATGCACATCTTCCCAGATCAGCACACGTTGTTGGAACGGTTTCTAGGCGCCGCACCGCAAAGTGAGATTGAGAACAACCCCGGCATAGCAGATGCCCTGTTGGCCATAAGCTTGGCTCTGTATCAAAAGGACTTGATTGCCAAAGGCACCGAGCCTAACATCATGGCATATCATCATCACTTGACTCTTGTTGCCGTATTTCACCCAGATCTTCAAGTTCGGAATGCGGCAACAAACTTTGCCGGCACAATACTTCACTCAGACCCAGACGACCAGGGCCGGTTAGAGATTCTGGAGGATTTGCTGGAGAACTGCGGCTTCGCATCGCTCAAGGCGTGTGCCGTCACGTGGTTGAAGGAAGAGCTTATAGAAGCTAAGAAGTCATCTTCGTCCAATGTGTTCTCATCACCAGACATCATTGACCGCCTGCAGTACGACATATTCCCCGACAGTATATCACTGAAGTCACTGTCTGAAGAGCAGCTTCAAGACTTTTGGGTACAAAATGCCCTCTTCCTCCTCCAAGTTGCAAATTTTGCCTACTTCCTGTTTGAGGGCAACAAGGACTTGGTGCCGGCTGCAGTAGGTGCAGCTGTCGAGCAAAGATTTGTGGATCCTCTGATCGAAGCTGCAGAGAGGCTGCTCAAGGTTGAGGGTACAGCTGGCCATGATTCCATGGATTTGACGATTCTAGTGGATCGCCTAAAGAGCCTCCCATCTTGAATCGGGATATCTGAAGACAACCTAGACATGCCAATTTTAATACCACAGCTTATGAATAAGATACGAAAAAGCTTCAGATTCAGCTACAGATACCATGAGTCGAAGATCTGCAATTACTTTTGTGGCACAGTCTAGTAAAAGCTTCATCTATTTTGAGAATTATTGAAAGTAGATGGGAAGAGCCTACAATGACTTTTCATTGGCATCGGATTGATTTTTGAAACGCGATTATTCATTACTTGAATGCAAAATGTAGTAGTGAATGAATACCTTTGCGCAGTACCTACAGAGTACTGTTGGTGCTTCTACGGGAACTTTCCAGTTCCGCCTGCCACCATCTCATATACATCCACTCAACCACAATTCAAACCTTGGCTCATTATAAGTCACGGTTGACGGCCTTTTCGCATCAACTCAACAAATCTTTGCCCGCGTTTTTATCCATTGAAATATCAAAGTATCCGCCTATTCGATTGATAACACGTATCTTGGCAGATCAGACGCAGAGTGTTAATTTAGCAGAAAATTCAAGGTAGCTGAGCTGGTTAAACATAGTCTTGATCTGGATCTGGGGGTATAATTATTTATTCTCTTATAATCCATCGCGCAAGTGATAGCTGGCGCTCCATCCGTCTAGGGTAACAAAATTCCTTATCCACAAACACAAGTACATTGAACACGCAGGGCACTAAATCATTGTACCTCTCTCGAAACTGTCCCTGATTTCGGCCGTATATTTGTTGTAGAACCGATCCAGCTTCTGGTTGAACTGCTTGTTCTTCTCGTTGATGTACGTGACGTCGCCGTCGTCGCCATTCTTCTCCATACGCTCTCTGCGCTTCTTGAACCGGTTCTCCTCGGCCTTGCGCATCTCGGCCACCAGCCGGTCGACAGCCGCCTTGTCGGGCTTATTGTCCACAAAGCCCGTCGAGTTGGCGGTGCTGTAGAAGCTGCCGTCCTTGTCCACGGCAATGAGCTCGCCGTCCTCGGTCTCGACAATGTCCAGACCGCCGCTCGCGGCCGCCTTTTCAATGGCGGCCATCTTGTCCCGTTCGTAGCGCTCCATGTCGGGGGCGTCCATGTTCTTGAGCTGCCGCTTGTAGGCCTTGTTGCCCTCGACGGCGTAGTCGGCAAACGCGGCATTGTCGCGGGCGGCCGCGCGCTTCTTGAGCCGCTTGTCCCAGCGCTCCGACTCCTCGACGGTCCAGTCCCACGCGCGCTTGCGCTCAAAGTCCTCGCCGGCTTCTTCGGCCTCGGCCTTGGCTAGTTTTTGGGCCGCCGTGTCGCGCTTGCGCTGTAGCGACGCCAGCGCTCCCGGGTCCGAGGCCAGGCGTTGCGATTCCTTGGTCGCTTCGGCTAGGTTCTGCGATGATGACTTCTTGGCCCGCGCCTGCAGAGCGCGGAACCGCGCCATTCGGTCTGCCGCTGATGTCGTGCTGGAAGAGGAGGCGGCGGCTGCCGCAGCTGGCTGTGGTGTAGTTGATGCACTCTGCTCCTCTTGGATGTGGTCTTCTGTATCTGCAGTCTTCTTCTGGGGCTCTGGGGCTTCTTCTGGTACTGCTTCTATCTCGGGTGCCTGTGTTGGCACTTCCTCAGGCTCCGTTTCACCAATCGGTTGGGCCGAAGACCTCGTCTTTCTCTTCTTTGCGGCCGGCATTGTGTAGACTAGGGGTCCCGAAAGTTTCAATGGATGATATTGACTGGTCTGTAGTATGCTATTTGACACCGAAATGTTGCAGCCGTAGCGTTGTTCAGAATAAAAGGGCTTGGTGGTAATGTAGTGACGTATTTGTTTGATGCTGTATTGGAAAGATGAAGTCAACGTCAAATGCAGACAAGTTCGCACTGGGTCTTAGCGCTGGTTGCAGTTTGGCTACAGAGTAGAGGTCCAGCCTTGGAACACGACCTCACGTCCGAGCTCGGGTTTTTGGGTCGGATTTTTGGAAGGGCCGAGTAGCGACCTCTTCGGTACCTAGCGGTTCAGCTCCAGTGCCTATGCCCTAAACTTTTAGCGCTTGACGGGCCCCCGGATGCGCTATCCCCTAGTGCGCCGTTCCCCAAGAAAGATCCACTACCCGTTATGAAATCTGGGGGATCTACTCGACTATGGCCGTTCTCCGCTCCACTTTGTCATAATCACACGATTCTACACTTTTTACAGTCCATTTTGGAGAGATCATTTCACAGGGCCGCTGACCCTTCGCTTTCCTGGACAGAGATTCTCGGAACATGTCAGGTCCCTACCGAATACCTTATTGCACGTCTTTCCAGAGATGCAACGCCTGGGACACCCTCGAATGCTCGGCCGGCAATGGGCCACATCTCAACACCCCATTCACCAAATCATAAGACACCACGTCGGTGGCAGAAACACATGGCGTGGACGCGATCCCACCCTCGGACGTGCAGACATTCCAACATACACTGTCAATCGCTTGCTTCTTGATCTCGACGCCGAAGATGCCGAGCACGTCAGGCCGTACGACCCAGATATTGATGGCAAACCCGAAAACCGCCATGCCAAGAGAATTCGCATGGGTGCACAAGCAGATGGCCGAATCGAAATATTCTTCGGCTATGCCAAAAAACGAGACCGAACTTTCTACAATACGTGTAGGAGTCGAGCAGTCGAATGGTATATAAACGACTTGGTTATAATTTCCACTCTACTTGGTGGTCGCGCGCAAAATCATCAATCATTAGACCAGGAATCTTCAGATACAACAGATGGCCGTAGTAGTCAGTCTGTCAACAACACACTACACGGCATAAGCGACGAGGGAATGGAGATGAATGGAATCCCTCGAACTGCCAACAATTTCAACTTGATTTCATACATGTTGCATCGACAGAAGCAAACGCTTGATTCCCATAGCACTCTGCACGATTTCACAAAGGGCATGTCCAGAAAAGTTATGCATGACATGATCTGGAAGAGCAACAGCGTAATGGAGATCAAGAGGCCGCTCTTCTTCATAGCCAACACTGTGTATGGCAGTGAACTCGTGTCCAAACAGAGTCGGCAACTCGCCGAAACGTGCTCAAGAGTAGTGGGAGATTGCCAAGATGTCTCAGAAATGGACAAGTCGACAGCTCTGGAAATGCTCAAGCTGTGCAACGACTTGGTCCTGCATCTCTTGAAAGAGAAATTGCCAATAGATCAACAATTATGGTGCTTGGGGTTTGAGTTGGCAGTGCGTTTGTCGGCCTTCCCAGCGGCACGTATGTATTTGGAAACTGGGTTGAGGCTTGGGGAGCAGAACTTACATGGCACGAATTTTCTGCTGAGGCCTCTGCAAGCACTTCTGAGGTCCATGGAGTCGTCTCCTTCGGGACACCATGCTGCAATTTTCGGCCTGCTAACAGGACAAGATTTGAGCGGGCATCAATCCCCATTCTCTGTTCAAAGTATGATCGAATCTATTAAGCCATCAGACCCTGCCATTTACCAAACCTACATACACATTCTGGGTGAACTGGGGGCTCTGAGGACTTTATGGCATTTGTTCCATCAGTTGCCACGACTCTTAGACACGAGGAACGATGGGACAAGTCAGATTGTACCTGACCTGAAAGAATTCAATGACCAATTCGTCTACGCGTTTCTAAGAAGTTCTCGACATGTTGGAAACAATCGGATTTCGGTCAGAGACATGCGACTGGCAGAGACTACGGGCAACTACATTCATGATTGTGAACTGGATCTCCAAACTATCTTTCGATCCTTTAGATCGGAATCACGGGCAAAGCGATCAGAATCCTCTGAGATATCGACGTCGTCGGAGATGAAGAAGGCGATATCAGACACGTTCCGCGTTACTGACATCGCGTTTTCGATGCAAGTGTTTCTTTCATTGATAAGGACGGCGGCTAGGGCGGGAACGGGTATACGGACAAATGAGAAGACCGAGCCATGAATTAGAAGTTACACGAGATTCGAGTTTTTGATATAAGGTAGCCTACTGTACGGAACTTTGTCCCAGTTCTTTTAGGTTCTGGACTCAGTAGAAGATTGGAATAGGCGACCCGGGCCCAACTCAAAAAAAAAAATATAATGTATGGAGCTGAATGTTCGCTTAAATCAAACAAGAGAGGCAGAGTGCGTGCGCACTTAGTCATGCTGAATAAAACAGCGTCCCCAAGCAATTATCACAAGAGTCACCAACAACGACGACGAGCAGAAAGTATCGAGATGTCAGGGGCATCACTGCAGGCGTTTTCTCCGTCTGGGCCGTTGAATCTTCTCTCGCGCGCAAGGCAGCAAACAAAGGACCCGAGCTGCCGTTCAGCACTATTCGAGCCGAAGGAAACCTTGGGGAGCTGATGCTTTTGATCGGAGGAATTTCATCACGGTGATTGGTCAAGTTGCGCATTGGATGCATGGAAGCAGGACCAAGCCGATGGGTCGTTGAATTTTGGTTTGACCGGGACTTACTGATCGCCGGACACTGCATCGGAGCCCACATTAGCCTCGTACACCCACATGCCAGCATACAGAATACACCCATGCATACACATACGGAGTGGACTTGCCATATCTTACATACAGCCTCTCTACTACTGTTCACTACTGTCAGGTTCGTACCCACTGGTAAGCCGTTAGGCAACGTCAAGGCCATTCGCTCAGCAACATGTACGCCGCCGCGATACTGGGATTTCCTGCTCTTGCTGAGATCTGACCGGCTTATCCATTGACATGATGCTGACCACTGCCGGAGCCGTCTTTGCGCCAATCACTGCCGTGGCCCGGCTCAGCTCCTAGGTTTCCAGCTACGTTTCCCCCCCTCCTCACGATCTGACACGAGCCGCCATCAATCATTTGCCCGAGTGGCCATGTTAGTCCTACGTGATGGAAAAAAAAGCTACCCACTCGGTTCAGGAACCCATAACGAACCAACCGGGCTGGGCTGGATGTTGGCTAGACTCTGGCTGGGAAACTCGGGTGGGTTGGACGGGTTGGTGTGTGTGTCTCTGCGGGGTTCTACATTACATACATACGCAAGATAGGCTCGTCTCGTCATGGCAGTCAGTAGTCCAGAACTCTGCGAGGTGGCTTACCATTCCGCTGGGCCCCGAAGTCGAATGGAAAGAAAGTCCCCGGACCTTGCTTCAAGTTTTTTCTTTTCCCTCTTTCCTTTCTCTTTAGTAGTCTGACGTGTGCGTGTCGTTATGCGATAGATACTCTTCTCCTCCTCCTGTTCTTGAGAACACAGTCTCGTATTCTCTGGAGAGGAGAAAAAAAGCAATAACTGTCCGCCGTCATTTGTTTTTCTATCTCTTCTTGTGGGTGGCGGCGGCGCTGTTGTTCTTGTTTGCATTACATGTCCACTACACATCAGGCAGTTATGACCAGCCGCCATCCTTCATAGTCATGAAGAAGCCGCAAATGTACCGGCCGAGCTGGCTTCGGGCCATGGGCTCGGCATCCTCTTCACGGCAGGATAGCTTCTGGAGTACCGCCCCTAGAGGGACTCTTGGCACGAAACGTCGGCATAGCCTACAATCCCAGCAGCTCCCACTGATTATGATGATGGTGCTCTTCTTCTTCTCCAGTCTATCGTATGCCCAGAGAGATCCCGTAAACAACTTTTGTAGGAGATTCGGCCATCAGTCTGCTGTCATTGACCGGAAGCTATACATTGATGGCGGTTTCATCAATTATAGTCCGTTGGAGGACGATCCAACCAACTACACAAGTGAGTATACTAAAACCGCGCGGCCATTTTCATGTCTAAATCTCGCCAAAATTTCGTGTCTGCCTTTTATCAAGAGCACCACTGACTGAGACATTTTAGACACTTTCCTGTCTTACAATGACCTTGACGAGATTGCAGCGGGTGGTATGCCCCAACTGTACAGCAACCTGTCCAAGAACGCGACCATTCCTAGCGTAAACGGCGGCGTCCTGTGGGCAGATACCGTCAACAAGTACCTATTTCTGTACGGGGGCGAATCCACCGTGTCACCTCCGACAGAAATATCCTTGTACTCTTATGATACCCTCAACAACTACTGGACCAGTCTCAACGTTCCCCAAAGTCTCGCCAGCGCGTCATATGGCGCTGGCGTCTCTGTATCCGAGATTGGCCAGGCGTACTATTATGGAGGGTGGCAGAGCAATGCGAGTAGCCCAGGGTGGACGGGAGGACGGGCGGCGACCACGGGGCTGATTCACTACGACATGGACGCCCAGCGCATGGACAACATGACTGGGCCGGACAATACTGGTAGAGCCGAGGGCTCCATGGTCTACCTTCCCGTGAGTGACGGAGGAATGTTGATATACTTTGGCGGGAGCCAGGATCCAGGGAACGGCAGCGTCCTCGGGCAGCCCATGGACGAGATTTTCATCTTTGACATTGCCAGTTCTCGGTGGTACACGCAAACGGCCAGCGGTGATGTCCCGGGCATGAGAGCCAGATTTTGCTCTGGTGTGACGTGGGCGGACGACCAGAGCAGCTATAATGTGTATGGATTCGAGCCCAGCTGACATGTGATCCGTGAAAAAATTACTTACATGGATATAGTTATCTCTACGGCGGTCTCGGTATGCCAAACTATACCTCGGGGTACGACGATGTGTATATCCTGTCCATGCCGTCCTTTACCTGGATCAAAATGTATCCAAACAACACGGCAGAGCAGTACCCACACCACTCGTTGACGTGCAATGTCATCGATGGAGCCCAGATGATCATTACTGGTGGTGAATTTCCACTCGACAATACGTCGTGCGATGCTCCGACCCAATTTGGCGCCCATGGACTTGACATGGGCGAACAGAATGCTGATAGAAGCCCGGTAAGCCTCCAAGTTTTCTCTCCACCTTGATGACTATCATGGGCGAACTCACCAATACTGTCTTTGAATATCCACTTTTACTCTCAGGAAAGACAGAATCAGAATACTAAATGTCTGCACAGTGGTTCTTATATCGACCGAATATCACGAGTTATGTTGTACCCGATGTCATCAGTAATGTGATTGGCGGTAATGCCCAGGGGGCAGCCACCAAAACCTCACCCGTCGACGGCTTTGACGAGATCGACCTCAAAGTCCTCATGGCGAGGAAATACACGGCCCCGGCACGTTCGCCAACGCGCAACGTGTCGACGGCCACGGTGACGGTACCGCCTGCCGCCCCCTCTCACTCGTCCTCCCTTTCCAGGGGGGCCATTGCGGGTATCGCCGTGGGCTCTGCGGTCGGAGCCCTCGCCGTCCTCGCGGGCATATGGCTGTGCTGCCGCCGCCGGCGAGACATGATGCGGGACCGCCAGTCCACGGGCGGCATGTCGACGGTGCCCGCGCTGCAGCATCACCACGCCCACACGAACTCGGGCGACGGCAGCCTCTGGAGTCCCGTGTCGAGCCACCAACACTCGCCCTACGGCACCACGAGCAGCCCCGTGTTTGCGCACCCGCAGCACTTTCCTCCCACGGCCTACATCCCCGACCACCCCGTGGAGATGCCGGGGAACCTGCACGACTCTGGCGCGAGTGAAATGTATGACAATAGCAGCGCCCAGCGGCACTCCAAGATTGCGTCCGTCGGTGACCAAAGTCCCATCGGCGGCGGCGGCGGCGTCGCGAGCCCGTACCCACCTCCGCTCAGCATTCCCGGCGGCACGGATGCAGTCAAGCACGGCGGGGTCGCGAGGAGCTGGCCCACGAGTCCCGTGGGGGGCGATATGGATCAGGTATCGCCGCTGCGACCGAGCGTCTATGCCGGCGGCGGGTATGGACCCCAGGAGCTAAGTTCCGAGACGACGCCCGTGTCGCCGCGGAGTGCGACCAAGGGCGGCCATACTCATGAGACGTTCTATCACGCCTCATGATGAAAGGGGCGAATGCACTGATCCATGATCAAAAGTTGTAGTTGTAGTAGTAGTAGTATATATTGGTGATGGCGTATGAGTGGAATGACGAGGAACAATGGGTCAGGGACACACTGACAGGAAGTGGAAGTAGTTTAATAGTGGAATTACTGGGGGATTGGGATTGTCCTTTATACCATTTGGTTTAGTCTGATTTTATTCTCTATCGATCTATAGGAGGCGTTATTGGGAAATTGACGGTGGATATCAATACCTCAAATATATCTCTGTCGCAACTATTTGACCACGTCCACACCATATTTACACTTGTTAATAAAGGATACTAAAGCATCATGAATTAGCACTTCTCACTGAACAAATTATTGTAAAAGGGAGCACATTGTACAAGTACTCAGGGTGGTCGACGGCTATAAATATTGCAACCTTGGCTTTTCCTCATTTTAATAGTCAGCTTTACACCACTTATAGTTTATATGGATTATAATCAACGTAAATATAGCGCATTATATATTGTTCACCTTATAATTGCAACGTGGCTCCCTACCGGTCCACGTCACTGGATGTCACCATTATAACCCGTCCTGTACGTGCATAGAGTCCGGTTTATAACCTTTAACTCTGTCATCAACCTCCGGTCAACTGTCAGGGTCCTTGCCTAGGTACTCGGGTGGATATTACACATTTATCCAGGTTGATATATCGGTAGACGTAGGTAATATCAGAGTTATTGGATACGTATGCAGGTTCAAGGTGCATGGCGGTGCAAGGCTCCTTGTTTGCACAGCCTCACTTGTTAGTCCTGCCTATCGTGCCATGTACTCACAAGTGCAACCAACCAGCGGTAGCCAAGAGGCAGAATGGACAAGGCATCTATCTACCCCGCAGTGAGTTGGGACAAACTACATAGGACATGAGCCAGACGCTTTTCGCTTTGGAAATCTCCCTGTCTGCCATTGCAATCCTTGTGCGCCCTATTGGGCGGCTCCAATCACCATTGTGCAACGAATTGCAGCAATGGCTCTTGAGTATGAACCACTCGAGCCATCTCTGCGAGAGATCCGACTGCTCACTCTATTGCCGGCATCCAACACATCAGACGACGCAGTTTCCGCTAATCTGCAGAAATTTTCGCTAAACAGACAACTGATTTTTAAAGCGCTTTCCTATGTCTGGGGTGACGAGAATGATACAAAGCCAATCAAGGTCAATGGCAAGACGGTGCCAATTACAAGAAATCTGGAAGCAGCGCTTCGACAATTGCGGCGCTCCGAACCCCTGGTGCTATGGGTAGATGCCTTGTGTATCGACCAGAAAAACACAAAAGAAAAAGGGTTTCAGCTTCCCTTGATGTGCGAGTTATATACACGATCACAACAAGTGATCATCTGGCTCGGTGAGGGAAATCGATATATCGAAGCATTGTTTCAGTGGGCCAATTCCACAAGAGCATCGGAAGCGGCCAGTATTGAAACTCCTCCGTCAGCTATCCCGCCTGCACAGAATGAAAGCGCAATGGCATGGATTGGTTATATCGACCTTTTCCTGCTACCATATTGGAATCGCATGTGGACATATCAGGAGATGGTCCTGCCAGACAATGACCCTGTTTGTGTCTATGGTAGTCACAGCAGCCCACTTTCGGTAATCACCGCACCTGAACTCTTTTCAGAATTGGTACGAATGACCGATCCGCATTCCATCTTTACTGAGCTGGCAACACTAGATCTGTCCCAGTATGAGGATTCCATTCGCCAAAAGCTACCTTTTGGCGTGGACGCACCGGTGATTCAGGAAATCGGAGCCGCGATCAAGGTGGCACGTTTACCACTTATTGGCAAAAAGCTCGACAAACTTCACATACTCCTGCGCTCTACAGTTGGTCGCAAGAGTCACGATCCCCGGGATCGCTTTTATGCCTTGTATGGATTGTGTACGCAAGCGCGATCCCTTTGCCCAGCAGACTATGCCGAAAGCAACTGTATCGACAAGGTAGTGGTCATGGCAGCCGTCTTTATTGCGGAATTCGAGCTTAGTCCCTATTTTATGATTGCCGAATTTGGAATGCGCGCGTCGAGATTCTCTGACCTCATATTGCCATCTTGGGTTCCCGATTTCAACGCAGTACCCAACTTACATACTCAAGAACCGCTATGTGCAGAGAGCCTACAAAGGAGGCTGGCAAGCGACCCTAAGCCTGCGAATCGATGCCGAGACTCTGGTATACTCGTCGAAGATCCTGGTATAGGAGGCCTTGAGAAAGACATTTCCATATCGTTGCCAGCATACCTTCACGAGTTCCAGCGAGAAGTAGAGTATATACTAGAGCGAGTGTCCCCTGGTGAGTTCAGTTCTCTAATATCGAATCCGCACAATGGTATGTTGGTCATACTTCCTGATTTCGTGTTGAATGGTGAAATGGTGTTAATAAATAGCTTGTCGCCAGCATTAGTTCATGATAACAACAGTCCAGCAGCACATCAAGTTCTTCAAAGCTATTTAGGTGATATACCCACCTTACAAATAGCTGCTCGCCGTATTGGTGAATGCTGCTTTTCTTTCCCCTTTGAGCAGAGTCTGCAGGAAAATTCTATCAAGTTGGCTTGCTTTCTCCTCTTGCTGCCCCTCTTGCTACCCTCGTTGGGCTATCCAAACATCGACGGGCTACAGATGTTGATCCAAGTCTATGAGCTGCAAGGGTGGCCTGGCACCCAAGACGTGCCTAGTTTGGATGACCTCCAAACGGCATATGAAGCGGTTGTAATGCTAGCTTCATCGTCAAATATCACTGGCTTCCTATATTTGATCACGGATTTGGTGCAAAAGGGATATGTTCCATTGAAAGAGCAAACGGATAGAGAACGCGTATTGCATGTGTATGCAAAATTCATCATTGCCTGTGCTGCTAGGCTTACCGGCTTAAGCTTCTTCGGAGTTGGCGTTGAAGGGACATGCTGTGTAGGCATTGGGGATGGATTGATTGAAAAGGGAGACCTCCTGGTTGTGCCTATGGACTCGGAAGGCGTGCCACTGGTGCTTCGACGTGACACAGTTGGTGACTCTCACCAAGCAGAGACTGCCTCTGGGGTTCAACAAGCACACATGGACAAAGGCGGTAGAGTATATTACAAAATGGTTGGACCCGCGTTTATGCATGAATTGGCAAAAGAAACAGAATTGGTCGCTCGGTTAGCTGAAAGGATAGCAGAGGATTTCTTTATTCGGTAAATAAGCTGAAAATGAGTAAATATCTAATATTAATTAGCGTTCGCTTGTATGAAATATTGTACACGCAGCGAAAAACTGGCAAGAGTTTTGGTAAAGTTATTATCGCATATGCCGGGAAATGTTATTAGTTGAATTCTTTTTGAAACTTGGTATGATAAAATCATATGGCTCCTCAAATTCGCTGACTTGAAACAATTGTTCATTATGATATCTCATTCATGACTCTTTTCTGTCTTATCCAAGCCGCAGCACCCGAAGGAATCCTTGAACAGGGCCAACATCAAAATGGCTCTCGGCACCCCATCAAGAGATGAGAGCAAAGAGAGCAAACCTTGGCGAACACCTCGTCATCTCCTCCTCTTGCTACCTCCTATTCTCTCCTTCCCGTAGGAACCGGGGGACCTAAACCTCCCCAGAGTCGGCGGTATTCGCCAAACCACCACCACCCCAAAAGACCTTGATGGCCTCGCCAGCCGGGTTGTTAGCCGTCTTGACAAAGACGTCCTGGCCCTGGCGGAGCGCCACGCCGTCCTCGCGCTGCTGGACGTTGTAGGGCCGCTTGGAGCCCATGATGGCGTACGTGGTGCCGACGAGCTCAAATACGGGTTCATTTGTCCCCGATGAAGAAGAAGAAAATGAGGAAGACGCTTTGGATCGCTTGAAACATATATCATTCGTCTTGGGTTGGACGCTCCCCTTGGCCGATAGCGAGAGTTGGTGTCGGCTGGTGTCGTAGAAGCCTGACACCTCGTCGACGGGCATAAGTCCGGTAGACATTGTTCTTTGTGTGTGTGTTTTTTTTTAATCCTTCCTTTTCGATTAGGGGATTTTTAGTCGGGCTCTATTATTGGATGCTAAGGTAGGTAACACTTGTAGGTAATAGCTCAGGTGAGGTTCTGGTTCCGTGTTTCGCTCCGTGAATCATATACCTATCAGGTAATCGTAACAGGAAACGCCAGACAAGTGTTTGGTTCCCGGAAGCATTACGTGTATATACTCCATTTTTTACCCTCCTAATTCCATCTCGAAAGAGTCATGCAACAACATATAGTGCGATGTCGAACAACTTCACTACGGGAAGGGGGGCCTGATGTGTTATTGGAATGATCTAGACCTTTGAGAGAAAGAGCTGACACCACCGCCAAACCTGCCCCAAGAAACCATATATTTTTCGTCATGACGACATATTCAGATGCAATATCCACAAAACAAGATGGTGTATCGACCCGAGAGTACGGTCTGGTTGTCAATATAGACTTTAGGTCTAGTCTAGCTTTTTCTAGCCGGGGCTTGTTCAAAACGGTTGCCATCCTATTGCGATGTCTGTCACTTGGTGTTTTACTCTTTCGAGAAAAGTCCATGGGGAAAAAATCAGTCTTGCGGCTCGTCGTGGGCGGCAGGGCTGAAATGTGCTTTGGAAGCTTGAATCGCACTGAGTTTGACCCGATGCCATTGAAGCTGATCCCTCGATGATTGCGGTAAGTCCCCCCCCCTTCGCGTGGATAAGAAATTTTCGAACCTCAGTCCATCATGAAATCATTATTTGCTGTTTTGGATACCCTGAATATGGAAAGAACAGCATTCCGATGGGTTACAGATCAAGCTCGGACATCCTCTGAAGTGCAGTCTGCCTGTTTCACGGAGTAGCACGTAGTCACCAAGATGCATTACTGACAATACCTAGATCGGGAGAATCCACGGACAATTACATACTAGAGCCTCACCCAATACGCAACCGATACAAAGCTTGAGTCAATAGCCGGGCCACCCTTTTCAACTACCACGAGTAACTTGTGTGTGGACCATGAGAAGTGTGTCTGGTTTAGACTTTATAGTCCGGCATTCCTATCCCAGCCAAGCAGACTCTCCCGGATGAGATATCTGACATGTCAGCCCTTCCCTTGGAGACCAAAAAAAAAAAAGAAGAGGGCGGCAAACGAAAAAAAAAGTCTAAAAAGGTTTAGGCAGTCGCTGCACGATCGCGGCTATTGGTGTGTAGGATAAACAAACCCCTCCAAAGTATCGCAATACGTTGCTCTCTCATCCGCCAGCTCCGAGGCTGAAGTAACTAATACTAGAATTGTTCTGGCTCGTACCTGTTGCCTCTTATAGTTCCTGACTAGGGCGCGTAACAAGCAAAAAGGCAAGACGCGTGGCAGGTTTATTCATTGTAATTTTTCCCCCCCCTAATCAATGACGCCCTCCTCAATTATGTTGGAGGCAAATCTGCAAGAAAGACAGAAATATTGAGCTTACCATGATTTTGTACTTTTGATGACGTGGAAATCACATTCTTTTAAATTTATACACCATGTCTTTAATCCTGCATGACGCCAACACAACGTCCAGCCTGTACATTCATCTGTTACCTGCAGGTTTATCTATGTCACCTGCGGAAATAAATCTCGCTATATCCAAGGCCTGGGCGCCATGTGCGGGACGTGTGTAGGAAACAGAATTATTACTATTCATGTCTGGTTAAATCGCTTGAGAGGACTTTATGAGTAATAATTCTGTTTCTTCAGATGGACTCGATTGAAACTTTGAAAAGTTTTCATGCCTAAAACTCTATAATACCTAGAATCTCTAGTTCTTTATGCATACTCATGCTTTCAGGTACTCGAGCATAAATATTCCCTAGCTTGAAGCATATCAACGCCAAGTTTTGGTCAATTTGTGGTACATAGGAAAGCTGAGATTTTCAAACCATGGACGTGGTACACACTCTAACACAATTTACATAAATCACTCCAATCATAGAAAAGGACGCGTAGGCAGACGAACACTTGATGCTCTGGAGTAATGGAAGGAAATGGTTGTGTATCAAGAGTCTTGACCTCGTTCATCCGAGTTCCTGATGTGATTTGCTCAAAGTCACAAGGGCCACAGACTTATTCGGCAACATGTAAATGTCAAGATTTTACTTGATTGTGCCCTCATTTGGGAGCAGACTATGCTATGCTATGTGGAGATGATCCCTTTGTTCCTTTGCTGCAGACTGGTTCTGGTAGTATCACTATAAATATAATGAATGCCAATCCGTGCAAAACTCCTTCCCGCTACCTAATGCGCTAAAGTGGTATAAATGCCGAACAATGAAAATTTTCAATGCATCGTTGTGATGTGAAAAAAGAAAAACAAAATAGCCTGGTGCGATTGCCAGGATGAAAGTTGTGAAAAGCCAAAATCCCCCAAAAATGCTTTCGATGTGAAAACGCCGATGCTGCCCGCCGTTGGAGTATGCATGATGCCCGAAGCCGTGATCCGTATATGCCCCAAAGAAAATCCTAGTCCCGCTGTATCCCATGATGCTTTTGTAATCAAATGAAATGCCCCTCCTGCTGAATTGCCTTGCAAATGACCCCCATGTGGCACATGGAGAGCACCTTGCATGAAACATGGAAATTGCTGACGACATTCTGGGAGAATCCGTGTCTCTCCCCAGACCTAGAACAGACGTCGACAACTGTCCTAGGTAACTAGGCTCACCGCAGCGGCGGCAGAACGTCCACCGATTGCCGTTTGCGGAAATAAAGTGAGACCTCATGCAAGCCACCGTCGGAGTGTACCCATGCAATTTTGATACAATGGACAAAAAGATGCATGGAAACCCAGGACCCAGATATTTGGTGAACGTGGAGAAGGGAAAAGGTTGCTGGGTTTTCCTCTGGGGTCCGGGGGGTTATTGATTGACCCCCGCGTCTCGCCCGTTTTTTTGCAATATCGACGATGCAGCCGGTAAGCTTGTCGGATATGGAAAACAAGTAGAACGAACAAGACCCCCACACCAAGCGAACCTTTCCCCCCAGGGGAAAAAGTTGATTTAGGTACCGTGGGGTAGACTGGCTGCAGTTCATGCAGCGGAAATGTTAGAGATCCCTGCCGTTCCGTGATGAAATGTCGCATCTACCGGCCGACCATGGGAGTCACTAGTTCAATGCTCTTGGGTCGGCTGTAGCCTCCTGGCTTCCTAGACGGCAGTGGGCGGTCTGGTGTCATGCTGGCTGTGGCGTATCCATAAGCGTAGCCAGATGCGCCATAACCACTGTCGTATGTCGAGGAATAAAAGTTGACTGGCTTCGTGTAGGAAGTGCTCGGGCTAGTGGTGGACGTCTTGGTGAATGGCCAGAGCGTCGATGTGCTCGTTGTCGGCGAAGGCGGGCTTGGTGGTCGGATAGACAGAGACCTCAAGGCAGATACCGCGCTCGTGTATTGGGAGCTGGTGGGCGTGGAAGGGGGCGAAAAGTACGTCGAGCTGGGTCGCGACGGTGAGGCTCGCGGGATAATGTCGCGGGGCTCTGAGTTGCCAGCCGAGTAGAATGGCAGGTTGCTGCCATAGCTGTCATGGCTCTTGGCCGAAGAGTATTGCGAGGTGATCAAACTTGGGGTCTGGTCATGCTTGCGGCATCTAGTACATGTTAGTAGGAAGTATCTCGACGATTGGCATACAGAAACTGTCGACTCACGATTCAGAGCAGTACAAGTGTTTCTCTCCAGAGGGGATGAATTGCTTCTCGCAGGTCATGCTGTAAATACCACAGTTAGCGAATCATGAGTGCATGGTACAGACGGTGCGAGCAGCGTTACACAGGCCTGCCCTACTTGGTGCGCATATACTCACCAGAACTGAGGAAAGCTCTCGCGCTCATCTTCCCATCCTCGCTCCTCATCCCATTCCCGTTCCCTGTCTCTGGGATTCTTTCCGAGCTTCTGAACGACAGACGGCGTTGTCCTCCTCGACAAGGTCTGAGGCCTCTTTGGTCTGGACAAATCGGAGGCGGTGACAGCCTTGCGAACATCGGTCATGGAAGGGTTGGTCGAGCCGTGGCCGGACTTGCGACGTTGGTGGTGCATTGGGGGCGAATGTGATTGGATCCCTGGGGTGGTGATCCTAGGTGCGATGGTTGAATATGGTTGGTTGAATACCAAGCAAGCAAAGCAAATCAGGGTCCCTCCAACTCTGGTCTGCAACTGTTTGGGGGGGGTGAGAGGCGGGGGTGTGGCTCTTTTTTACCGCCCGGGTCGATCAGCCAGAGAATTGAGAATTGGTTCCTAAACAAGAGGGGGGTCTCTTGGTCTTTTTGACCGGGTGCCAGTTGGGTAGTAATCTAACGTGCAAGTCGCTTGACTCGATAGAGATAGATATCGATAACCAGTAGCTGGTAGCGGCGAAGCCTTGGCAAGAGATAAGGGGAAAATAGTTTTTTTTTCTCGGTTGTCCTCGGTATATGTTGCAACGAGCCAAAATGATTGACAGATAGTGGTGGTGGTAGTGGTAGTAGTAGTCGTTTTTCTGGGGTCCGGCACAAGTCGAGAGTGTCCAGGTTGAATTACCAGCAGTATAAAGTTGTGGGGGGAAAAGGCACTTGGTTTTGAGAGATTCCAAAACTTATTTTTTTTTTCTGGGGCCTTGTTGACTTATACAATAATGGTTGATGTCGCGCAAGATGGTAAAAGATTGATTTGATTTTTAGCGGTGCCAATCTCTGACAAAGAAGAATTGCGTGCTCAAGCTTGGAAGAATGATACAAGCCGGTGCCTGATATGACGGAATGTCCACGGGTTTTGTTGGAAATGGTTCCTCAATTTGGCCCGATTGCGGTGGGTGCAAGTGGCTCTTTAAAAGCTTCTGGACAGCTCTGTAAGCCAGATCCCCATGCAAAGCCGATTAGGCGGTGGAGTACAGGCGGTCGGCGATGTTGTAGGCAGTTAAAGTAGTAGTAGAAGTAGCGGCACCAGTAGCAGTAGTAGTAGCCTGTTAGGCAAGTCCAGTGTGACTGCAACCTGGAGGGGAAAAAAAGATGGAACAAATCCAAGTACCGATAGTAGTGTGACAAGTAACGTAGTTTGTGCCTTGATCCAGAAGAGGGAAGGAGAAGAAGAAGAAGAAAAAGAATAAAATTCTTCTCTTGCCCTTTGTTTTAGACGGGAGACGTAAGAAAAGTACGGTAGCGAGGACTATTACTTGGCGCTGTGCGCGCTTGTAAGTTCCGGCTCGGGATTTTGGGTTTCGATCTGATCGCAGCCAGGACTTATCAGGGCTGGGGGATAACGGGCCTAACAGATTGGTTGCCGCAACTCTAAATATGACACAAGAGTGTGTGTGTGTGAGCAGTCGATTGCATGCAAAAGATTGGTCGGTGGCTTTTCTCGTGTGTAGATTGATGGCGGGTTGGTATGGATGAGGAGCCAGCGAGGTTCTTGTTGTGTGGTTGTGGTTGTGGTTGTTGTAGTGCAGAAGCTCGAAAGCAACCCGACGGAAGAGATAATCAAGTAGAGATGCAGTTCTCAATGGTGGGGGGAGATGTGGGAGTAAGTAGTCCAAAAAGAAGGAAGAGGAGAAGCTTCCCAGTTTATGTCCGCGTGAGTTGCGTGTGTGAGTGCGTGTTGCATGGGCGTAGGCGTGGACGTGGGCGTGGGCGTGGGTTTTAGTGCGTGGGTGAATTTACATGGGAATTATTGAAAGGGTCATGAAAAAAGAGAGAGTGGATTGTTATAATCCCAGAGATCGTCGTACCTCTTTTTGCTACCCTTCTCGCTCCTCCTACTTCCTAGGGACTTTGTAGCTCTGTGATGGGCGAGGTACCGGAAACTCAAAAAAAGTCAAAGGGTCCCCACCCTCTTTTCTTTGAGTGACTGGCAATTGCACCGAACTAAAAAGACTGTTTTGCACGGTATTTTTGCTACTACTGCACAGATGCTGCTGGCTGGCTTGCCGCTCTGTGGATATGGTACTTTAAGGGACAAGAGGGAGGAAAAGTCATGGTAGGATTATGCGATCCACTTGGTTTTTTTTTTGGTTTTTTTTTTGGTGACTCTTCACTCTGCGCCCCCCCCCCTCCCCGGTTCGTAAATTGCTTCACAAAAAAAAAAGCCGAAAGCGGAGATGGCATGATGATGATGGGGGCTTCGAACCAGTCGATGTGTGTTCTGTCTCGGCTTCAATTGTCTCAGAATTTCTCGCAGGTGCCTTGTATGTGATGTATGCAGCATGCGGGATGTTCCTGTGTGAATTTTTTTATTTTTTTCCCTGAGGGTCTGGGTCTGGGCCCGCAGGCCCTGTATCTGCCTGCTTGTCTGTCTGTTGTCTGTTTCTGTAGCCAAGGTAAACTGTCTGCCTGTCTGGGGCTAAGCAAGGTACTGTACAGCGCTGTACTGTGACAGGACAGGACAGGACAGGACCACAGCTAAGGTTGACCCTTCTCCTAGACTCCTGTGGGGGATTGGATTGGCAGGGAATAAAGGAAGGTTTGCCCTTGGCTGATCGTCGCTCAGCGTTGGCTTGGTTGGCTGTCCTCGTGTTCCTGGTGCCAGTGCTGATTTGACTGGGCCCCGTCTCAGAGGTAGTTTGCGTAGGTAATGAGGTGGTAATATGTATTCTGTTTACTACTACACTACACTTTTAGGATTTTGATCCGGCTTGCAGTAGTCCCTCTTGTTGTTTAATTGTAGTACAGTACTACTAATACTATTACTGTACAGAGTCTGTGTGTAATAATGTAGTGGCCCGTTGGGTCGTGCAGACATGAAAGATAAAAAAAAAAAAAAAAAAGGAAAAGAATGTTCGGATGAGCTAATCGAGCAAGTCCTGAAACGGTCGAACCAAGAGGCGTCGAGACTGAGTTTGTTTCCTAATTCAAGGTACTAGGCGGCATCGATGAGGCAATGCAGGGAACTAAACTCGACAAGCAAGAAAAACACCAATGCATCAAGTAATTCCTTGACAAACGGATTGTTTTCAAAGAACATTATGCAATTTTTGCATCACCTTGCGACACAAGACGACTGGAGTCAAAAGGGAAGGGAGGGGGGTTTAAAGTTCGTGATCTTCTTTTTGATTATTCTAATAATTCCATTTTAGTGTTCAGGAGGTAGGACCAACACTGAAAGAACCCGCTACAGAACCCATCGAAACCACCCGGATGGAGAGGAACGAGGGGCCAATTGGACGCCCAACGAGCACGGACTGGGATGGTTTGGCCCTTGGTAACGGACATGATGTTGCGCAATACTAGGTATGTACTCGTGCTCGAGGACCTTGACAGCTTAACCATAAGATATAGTCGTGCTGTGTAGGTAATAGTCAGTCGCTGTAACAGCACTATGCACGCAGATCAATGACCGAGCGGCAGGCATACTTTCCGGGGAAGCACGCAGGACTAATATCGCTTTTCACTGGATGTCTTATCAGTTCTCGTTACCTAAGGAAGTCAGGGTAGACCTGCTGGTTGCGTTACTACGGAATATATCATCTATTCCCGATGCTGGCACCTGCAAGAATGAGTGGTAACCCAGGGGTCAGTCGACAGCCGCACACAAACTACTTCATGTCAGATACCCAGGCAGGCGCTAGAAAAAAAAAAAAAAAAAGTTCGTGAGGCGCTTTGCTAACCAGACGACCCATCTGGAGCCTGGCGAACAGCACGCAGGTACCTGGACTACATTAATGGATCGTGAACATTTGTGGGTGATCATGCTATGGATGATTCGCGCTGCCAAGAGAAAGATCCATTTTGCACGTCCACTTCTACACGTTTTGGACCCGGCCGGATGAGGGGCCGTTGGTAGCCCGGCCGGGGGGCCTTGAGGATGGATCATTTACAGAAACGGGGCCGGTTAATGTACCCCTCAGGCTCACGGGGCTTCAGTCCAGGCCAGCGGCTGCTCTGTTCCCGTCACCAAGGTGCCTCATTGTGGTCAATGTGGTCCTCCAGGTGTAATTGTACAGTACTGGCCTAGATGGGGGCAGTCATCAGGGGAATTTGGGGGGACCCGTCACGCCGTATTGGCGGTCCTTGGGTCCTAAGGGGTTGCCCGTTGCCCAAGTGGTCTTCTGCGGCGCTCGCCAGCAAATGAGCGCTGTGGATTCTCGCACGGCTGAACCCTACCTTGGGCACTTCGGCGAGGAAAAAAAAAAACTTTTCCTCCCCTATCCGCGATGCATCCCTCGCAATCGAGATCCCGGAAGGCTTCTGGAAGAAGAAGAAAGAAGCGGTCGTGGTCAGAGGAAAACTCTTCCCTTGCCTTGTCGACTCACAGGCCACGATGGAGTCCCGTGCTGACCGATATTTTGAAAATTTTCACCAGTCGACCAAGAAAACAAAGTGCCTAGAACCTTTGGGCTGGAGCCCGTCGAGTGTTGGTTCCTTGTTCTCCAAATCCACCATGGCAGGGCACGTTGGCACGTTGTCCCGTCCTCTGGATGAGAGACATTGTAAAACAACTTTTGGTGGAGGTACCGGTCGAGACTATGAATAATGCATTTATTTGCTTCGGATGTCTGTTGAAATGTTTTGTCGCGACTAATAATAATGCTTGTGTGTAAAAGTCATGTCTGCATAGATGTATGTACGTACATTATTATTAGCAGCAGCTGTTAGTGGTAGGGCTTATGCACATCTTTTAACTCCCTGGTTTCCTCCCGCGTAAAGCCCTGAACCTGGGCGGCCCGTAGATCTGGGTAAGGTAGACTCCATTTCAGGACGCCATCACTCTAGAAATAGCAGTAGCAAGTACTTGCGGTAATTAAATTACTAGGAAATCAATCCTCTTTAATGAGAGAAATATGACGAGGGGGTTTTGTTTCTTGTCTTGCACCTTTTTCTTGACTTCTTGAATTGTGTTTTGTGTATATTGATGAAGGGCAAGAGAAACTCCAGCGAACCTGCTGAACGAACAGGCCAGGCCAACACGGGCGCACAAGCGGAAAGCGGAAAGCGGCAACCGGTAACCTACAGAGGTACACAATGTAGGTACCTCCGTACTGCGCCCAAACCAATGTCGCAATTGTGGAGAGTTTAGTTGACATGGACGTCCAAGGTTTGAGCACGTTTCCACGTTTCCAAGGCAAAATG